TATCCAGAAAGATGGATCGGCCGTGGAGGACCAGTCGCCTGGCCTCCACGATTCCCTGACCTTAATCCATTAGAATGCATGTGATGAAATAATGGCTTATTTGAATAATGCTATACCACGTTCGATCATTCGTACATGTGAATTGTGTATTGAACAATTTTGTTTACATTTCGAGCAACTACTTTAGATTTTGTATGTTTGTCCTAATTATCCAATAGCATTTTAGTTGTAAATAATTAATTTAATTTGTTAAAAATAATATTGGAAAACTAAAGAAATTAATATTCTGTTTTTTTGTGTTTATTTGGAGTTAGGAATTATTGCTGTGTTTAAAAACACAATCTAAACGATCATCTTAATTACTTGTAATGCCCAGGAGAGCTTTTTTATGCAGAAAAGTGCGAAGAATCAGTTTTTTTTATTCAAAAAGCAAAAAAAATACACTACAGGTACAGTAGAGAGCACCCTCTAGCGGCTACAGTAAAACTAGGGTTCGTTTTGTCGTACCAAAAAACCCTTGTATACCAATTTTCACTGTTATACAACAAATATTGTTCAAAATATTTAAAAAAAACTATTTTAGAAAGTAAATTTAAACACCCTGTATTTCGGAAGCCACGCATTTTTCGACCCATGTTTATATAGACTTTATGCATTAATTTTAAAAGTTCTATGGAATCTTAAAGTTATGCAACAATAAACTGAAACACCCTGTATATAATATAATTATATTGAAAGAATCTGAAGTTTATTATTTAATAATATTATTACGAAATTGTTTTATAGAGCGTTACATTTCAATTTCAGTCCATGGCACTAAACATGTATTTTTTATCACATCTCTGAATCGTGGCGGATCTGATTTTTCCACCTTTACATCCAAACCCTATACATTACCATACAGGCAGCAATTCATATGTTTTGCTACATTAACATTTGTTGATCGAACACACCATCACAGACGGACATTTTCAAATCTAGCGACCGCTAGAAATTAGAACCAAGTAATTTAGGCCAATATTGATAACTGAGATGAGATGCAGTTGAAGCCAAATAAGTTATACTTGCACGATGACTTACTTACTAGGTATATTTTTGTGTATGGCACCCACTAGCCCTCTTGAGATATGATAAGCTGGATCCAAGTTATTTAGATATCGCAGTTTCAGTCAAAACAATCAATTTTGTTTACATAAATACACTAATTCTTCTCAAGATATGGTATATGTATACACAAAAAGCAGAAAATTAGGCATACCAACTATACCATCTTAGCATTTTACTGTCTCCATTACATAAAAAATATATGTTTGCAATAAAGTTCATACGTCAACTCTTGAGCACCAGCACGGCTAAAACGGGTGCAGAGCGTTAACAGTAATATTTTGCGCGACTCTCAGAAACATTTCACACTTCGGTTTGTTTTAGATTCCTTCTCCAACTAGTTACAAAATACTCAAAATATATAGGTATGTCCTTTTTGTGTTTCTATTGTCTTCGAATAATAATGGGTGATTTTTTTGCTAGTATCTTTTTGGCAACACTGTTTTTGACAGATGACGCGTGAATCGTGTCTTGTGTCATTGTCAAACTTGTTCAGTTTGGTCTATAATTTAACCATGAATCGACTTACGAACGAACAACGCTTGCAAATTATTGAATTTTACTATCAAAATTCATGCTCGGTTAAGAGAGTGCATCGAGCACTGCTTCCAATTTATGGGCAATTTGGTCGGCCCACTGAGGGAGCTATTCGGAAGCTTGTGACTAAATTTCGAACCCAGTTTACATTATTGGACATTAAACCACCAACACGCAGACGTAGATTGAGGACTGAAGAAAATATTGCAGCTGTATCCGCCAGTGTTAGTGATTACCATGAAATGTCGATTCGCCGTCGTTCGCAGCAATTGGGCCTCTGTTACTCCACTACGTGGAAAATTTTGCGACAGGATTTGGGTGTAAAACCTTATAAGATACAGCTGGTGCAAGAATTGTAGCCACACGACCTCCCACAACGTTTCCCATTTGGTGAGAATGGGCTGGAAAAGTTGTAGGAAGATCCACATTTTTATCGAAAAATTGTGTTCAGCGACGAAGCTCATTTCTGGTTGAATGGGTACGTTAACAAGCAAAATTGCCGCATTTGGAATGCAGACCAGCCAGAAGCATTGGAAGAGCTACCAATGCATCCCGAAAAAATCACTGTTTGGTGTGGATTATGGGCCGGTGGCATCATCGGGCCGTACTTCTTCAAAGACGACAATGGCCGGAACGTAACTGTGAATGGCGAGCGCTACCGTGCGATGATTACAAACTTTTTTTTGCCCAAAATGGAAGAGCTGGACTTGGCTGACATGTGGTTTCAACAAGACAGTGCCACATGCCACACCGCACACGAAACAATGGCCCTATTGAGAGGCGAGTTCGGTGAACAGTTTATCTCACGTTTGGGGCCCGTCAATTGACCGCCTAGATCGTGTGATTTAACGCCGTTGGACTATTTCCTGTGGGGCCATGTTAAGGCTAATGTCTACAGGGATAAACCAGCAACGATTTACGTACTGGAAGCCAATATTGAAGCATTTATTCGTGAGATACCGGCCGATATGTTGGAGAGAGTGTACCAAAATTGGACCTAGCGCATGGGCCATCTAAAGCGGAGCCGCGGCCCACATTTACATGAAATAGTCTTTAAAGATTAAATTATATCGACCGTTCTATCGACTCAAATAAAATTAAATCGTTTTTACCAATTTTTTGTGTTTTTTTTGAAAATCAAATCCTATACCTCTTAAAAAATCACCCGTTATAACCACAATTCAGATAAAATGCAACCGTCACATCAGCGATTTTTTAGCATCACAGCCAAACCGCTCGTCAATGGAAGTCAGTCCTTATTTCACATTTCACATAACTTCCGAGATGTCCTTCTATTCGGAGAATTATGTGAATGATCACACCAGTGAAAATTTGGAATTTTAATTTTTGTTAGTCCGTGACGTCTACTTTCACATATGTTCACACATCTAATTAAACTAATTCGCCAAAAATAGATGACAATATTTGCTAACTTCATAATAGATAAAGTTATTGGTATATATTTTGCCATTTTTGACCAGTATGACAGAAAGTGTCGAAAAATGACTCGTGATTGTCAGTCCCTGACGCGTCGAATTTCTCATCCAATCAAACCGATTTAGGTCCGATAACAGTGCATCAACTAATTGTTATTTATTATACAAGGAGAAAAAGTGTAGATTTTAGCTTGAGGTTATATTGTCTCCCGACGCACAGTCAAAAAATAGACCATTTTTGACGAGAAAAACGACGATTTAATATTGAAAAATTATATTATTACAATCTTTAAGTCGATGTGAAATTTGAATTTTGAAATTAGTAGGCTATGTTGTACTTATAGCGACAATTAGTCCTACGTTGCTAAGAAAACTTTAAATGTAATCAAATAGCTGTCAATTTAAATTTTGTGATTTGATTTAAAAACTGTGAACTTAGTGGTTGTTTAGAAGTTATTTTTAGTAATATAAAATACAAAATGTCTGATTCCGAGTTTTCCTTGACTTCACCGGAATTAGTAGAAGTAGCCAAAGTAGCGTCACAAAAATTATAGCGAGCTAAATCGCGGAAAATTTACGAAACCGCGTATTGAAGATTCATGGAATGGAAGATGAAAAAGACATGCAGTTCTTTGTCGGAGACGGTGTTATTGGCTTATTTTTAGGAATTGGCACAACGACAAAAGCCATCAATATCCGGGAAACAAAAATTTTCCGGGGAAAAAAGACATTTTGTTACCAGTCAACAGAGTTAAAACGTCAAACTTTTTTCCCGTCACAGAAAAAATACCATTTTTGATAAGTATTTCAAGTAAAGGTGTTTTGTTTAAATCTTGTTCAAGTATATCATGTTATGTTGCGAATGGAGGTCTTCATTCACCTTCTAGCTCCTGGTTTTGTCGCCTTTGTGGTGAAAGGGGCGCTCAGGCGATTTGCGCATTTACTATACGTAAACGAATTGGTTCAGTACAGTGTATTCTGATGCCTGATCGGTGCACATGTAACTTGTTTTCGATATGTAGCTCCTTAGTAACCCCAAAGACGTAGAAAATGTGGCGAATAGAAAAGCGATGTCAATATTTTCGATGTGCCTCAACACTGACTAGGCAAAACCAGAAAAGACAATATCGTAATATTTGAATCTTTGATCATTGCAAAAAGCGAACATCGCTCTGGTTACCAATCCTTCTATTTCTCCTCCTGTTCCTTTATTGCGGACATGCCCACGATTGGCCTTTGTTTTTCATCTAAGTTTCCGAAAAACGACGTGCCTTTCTCTAATGATTAATTATTGTTTGACCTAAGCTGCTTTCATACTGATGTTTGCCAATTATTTGGATGGCTAACTATACGGACAGGTTTTTTTAGCACAGTTTTGCCGTCAGGAAAACGGAAAACTAAAATTGGAATGGCTGTTATTTTATTGGATGAATTAGCATGTTTTAAATAAGTACGAAACTAAATTTAATCTCATGCGTTCACTTGTATAGTATCTTCCTTATTTAGACTCATATACCAAAAATCTGCAAGTCTAATGATTTTCGACCATACGTGTATATATGGTCAAATTTATTGCATATAAGGTCCGCAGTCACGTCCTGGAAGACATAGGGCGAAATTATCAGTAAACCTATAAACCTACATCAAAGAAAACTTAGCTCCTTGGGTTGATAGTTGATATTTCGGGAGGGTTACGTCAGGCATTCATTGAATTCAGTGTTTCACACATAAACAATTTTATAATACAAAAACGAAATAAATAACGTAAAATTATTAACAAAACAGACTATGAATCGAAGGGTGGAAGGGGGTACGAGCGGTCGTTGGACAATGAAAGTAGGCGTGGCAATCATTACGGGCCTACAGCCAATGAGAGGTAGTACCTGTGAAGTAGTTAAATTGCAATTACTAATCTTTGGGCAGGTATAAATTGAGCTGCCCTTCTTAGGATTTTCAGAAGTCATCTTCAGTTACACTTGAGGTGCGGTGTGTTGAGCAATCTTATTCGTTTATCCCGTTCATCATTAACCAACGGTAAGCATTTATTTATAATTTTTTTCTGCTAGATTATATTATCGACACCTCTCTCAGAACTTTTTTTAAAAAGTTACCGTAAGAATATAATTATATATTTATCCTTTAATTTCTCAATCCATAGCCATAGTGTTTTTTAATTTAGTACTGTATTCTGCTCATCACCTAAATATTAGATATATACACCGACCAACTACATCGATATACATTCATATTTAAACAAAAAATTTAAAATAAATGTCAGTAATCAAAGTTTCAACAATATTGAGTGCTGGCTCTACTATGTATGTTCAAATTAATTAATCAACGCTTTTCCTTGGATGTTAACCTACTAAGATTAAACATACCTACATCTGACGCGATAAAGTGGAAGATATTGATTAACTGTACGTAGAATACTAATATACATACCTGTTGATAAATTAGCATGACCATATGTCAGTTATCAAGTACAAATACTAAATATACCTATACGGTACCATATATCATGTCGACACGGCCAAAAGTGATGTATTAATACCCGATATCAGATGAAAGATTTAATTATGCATTTGTATGACGCTGTAGATATTCAAATAGAACTGAAAATGTTGATGCTAAAATATAACAGTTTAAGTCAAAATCCTTCAAACCCTTTAAGCTGTAGTTCATGAAATATAAATTCCAAGATTGACTATTCTATTGAAAGACAAATTCAACAACACCTAACTTGTCATAACTCCCTAAATATCCTTTTTCAATTGTTAATCAAGCCCGCACTCAATTATATTCTACATAAATGGAGCCCCAATGCTGCAGAATATATATTGAGCGCTTTACTATCAATTAAAAAAAGTCTACATTAACACCTCCTAAAATGCTTAGTACCTACTTCTGTTAAAAAAGTTTAGTAGAAATCTGAAACTTGTAAATGGAAGGAGGAGTCCTTCTAAGAACAAATACATAAAAATATACAACCATATATATGCGTTGTTTTTTATAAACAATGGGAACAGCCCAAAACACAATGTTTTGCTTGTATAATTGTCAAATTAAATTTTATAGATAATCAGTAAACTGGAGATTTTAGAGCATAAAAAGACCTTCAATTTAATTTTTTACGAATTAACATCGATAAACAATTAGGCTAAATTTTCATCAATATTGAAAAAATGCTTACAACTATTGCAATAACAACCGCGAATGGCTAAAATGAGAATGAGAGCATCACTGGTGTTAAGAAGCGTGCAAAATTTCAGCCAGATCGGTTTAACAGCTTATGTAAAAATCTATTTTTTTTATCCCAGAGTCGAATTATTTAAACAACTGTTCTTGCCCAAGATATCGTCCTAGAACATTTTACAAAAGTTGAATGTATTATTGAAGGTTTCAACTTCAAAAATTCATGCAAAAGAATAATTACGTATTTCAAAATTATTGTTAAAAATTTTTATTTTTTTATAGTTATAAACATTTACAATAACCCCGTTATTCTCCAATAAAAGTTATTTTAACAAGTTGATCTGGATGGGTGGTTAGAAAACGCATATTCAAGAAAAACCGTCTACAACCAATAAGAGTCAAGATAATTCTTTTTAAATTCATATCTCCTTTGTTTATAAACATTAAGTCTCGAAATTTTAACAAATTATAATCAAGGATCTTAATTTTATGATCCAATTTATAATTTAACTATTAGTTCAAAGGTTTTTAAGCTCATTTATTTTTTGAAAGTGAGTCTTCAAATCAGAGCGCGCTCTATAATTTTGCATCTCGGCTTCTAAGCAATTTTAATTTGATTTACTTTTACTCTCACTCTAATAAAATAATTTTATTATAAAATATATATTATTAGAGTGAGAGTAAAAGTGAATGATTTATTGTTAATTTATTATTATTATTTCATAGTACATAATTTAATTTTGAAGAATACAACGCGTTAAGTTTTCAAGATTTTTCAGATGTCATTATTATCCCATATTATAAAAGAATAAGCTTCTATGTTGCTTAGAAGCCAAAGTTGAAACCTCCAAGAAGCAGTTTCACTTTTGTAAAATCTTCTAGGACGATACCTTGGACAAGAACAGTTGTTTAAATAATTCGTATCTGGGATAAACAATTAGCCTTTTACATAAACTATTTAAGGAACGTAACCGATCCGGCTGAAATTTAGCACACATATTAACATCAATGATGCTCTCATTATCACAATTTTAGCCATTTACAGTTGTTATTGCAATAGTTATAAACATTTGTTCAATATTGTTAAAAATCCCTGTATTTAGCTTAATTTTTTATCGATTTTAATTCTTAAAAAATAAAATTGCAGGTCTTTTTATGCTCTAGCATCTTCAGTTTACCGATTATTTATAGAATTTAATTTGAAAATTATACATGCAAAATACTGAATTTTGGGCTTTTACCATTGTATTATCAAAAAAACGACGGATATCTGGCTGTATCTTTTTATGTATTTGTCATTAGAAAGCCCCCTCCTTTCACTTAAAACTTTTTTACACGAAATACCTATTTTTTCTCTGTAGCCTGAGCTATAAAGATTATTTACAAGCTATAAAAAAATTTTCGTTTTTTTATATTGTTTTTCGCTTATATCTCGAAAACTATCAACTCAAAGTTATTCAGGATATCTCAAAACGAGGCAAAAAGCAATTATTTTCACAATTTGTTCAAAAAATTTTACGCAAATTCGGGTCCGTCAACTTACGCAGGTTTTTAAAGGATCAGAAGATACTACCCGGACTAGTACGACGTTAAAAAATCTAGGGCCAGACTCGATTATAATCTATCAAAATATCACCTTTCAAGCTCCATATTGAAATGTTTGGCCATGTACAAAAGAGCCAATTAATGATGCCTATTTCAATCAACAAAATAATTCGATTGTGCCTCTCCTATCAAAAATCTTTTATACTTGAATACCTATCTTATTTCTATCAGTTTTAAAAATGCTTAAAAATCATAGGCAAGAGAATAGAAATACAGGTTTTGGATGGTATAAGATCGTTTTGAGAAATGTCTGAATTCCAAAAAAAAAATAGTAAAAGCTTAAAATACCAAGTTTGAAAATCTCGTAATGTTTATTTCAGCTATAACAAATAGGTTTCTAGATCTACATGTTTATGTCGTTTTTGGCGAGCAGTGTACGCTTTATTTGGCTACATCTCTTGTAAAGAGTTTGAAGCTAACTAATAGCGCTGCTGTCTATGATCGGTTATTCATACTATTTTAAAACTACCTATAAAACAGAAATCTGTAACATGTCCTAAAGAATTTTAATGAAAAATACAGAAATACACACTTTTGACTATTATTAACTAAACCTGATACTAAATCTTACATAATAAATTTTAAAACTTGATATATTTTATTTTACAGAAAAATATCCGAGGACATCATGCCACCTGGCATTGACGGCATCTTCCGGCAAAAGTCGACAAGCGAGCAGCTGTCATTAAGCGGTTACGCTAGAGCTGCCAAGCAGTCATTCGCTAACTTGCTGTCGAGAAAAATGGCTACTACTATCAGTCAGAGTCAGCCTTCGGTCCCCTGGCCGAATTCGAAAGATGATTACGAACTGGGAAAAGTTATCGGTAAGTAGTTTTATCCTAATTATCTGCATTATTTTTTCTACAGTCTGGTGTATGAAACTGTGGCTATCATCACATATTTTATCGTTAATTCAGCGTTTCGATAGACTTTTTAAGGTTATGTACTTTTTTGGTGTTTTCAATCCGGTGCAAGTTTTTCGTATTTATCGGGAGACAGAATACTAATTAAGGTGAAATTTTCTTCCTCACTGTAACGAGCATATTTAGGATTAAAAACACATTCATAGCATGCCTCAATGTTCTTCATGTTGACGGTAATTTGGTGGCATACAAATGTGTGAACTAAAAAACCTAAATAAATTGTTTATATTGTTAATTGATCGAGTTCCGATGTATGCAGTTTGATTGACCCTTTTTTAAGGATGTTAATTGACTTTTATTATTTTTAAATGAAGGCAGATCAGCTTCTTATTTGTGTCTGTTGGAGGGCACTTTGTATATGTGCTTTTTGATAGCATTAATAATTTATTATCTTATCAAACAACTGTAGATATATCTTTTTTATCAGTAATATTTAGCCAGACCTACTGTTTATTTTTCAAATATGGGCTAGGTACAGATATTGTTAAGCTTAGACTTCAAATTGTGTAAACCAAAACAAAATATACTTGTAGTAGCGGAATGCTAATACTGTAATCCTGTTCATATAGTAATACATGAATTTTGTGCTTTTAACGTCAAAATTACAGTTGGCATGCTGCTTGCTCCATTTGTCTAGCTTTTACAATATTAATCATTAATTTCTTTTACACACATGAGTGCATTCAGTAATATGCTGTGATTTAAACAATACAAATAATGATTGAATTATCAAAACTGATGAATGAATTTACTGATAGAAAGTAGCTTTTTTTATTCATAAGTTCCATAGAACTATAACAGTGAAAGCATTCAATAGTAGAGGTTGCATTTCTTGATACTAGTATACAGTACTACCAGGGATGTCTTTTAAGTTTTGCATATGGAAATAAAACAACACGGTAGGTAGTTTTAAATGACTTTATTGTTTTTCGAAGTATTCTCCACGAAGACTAATACACATCTGCATGTGTTCAAACCAATTTTCGAAGCACTTATTCCACTCCTTTGCTGGCATTTTTTTATGCGTCAACTGCTTCTTCTGGTGACTGGAACCTTTGACCACACAGTCTGTTTTTAATTTTCGGGAAAGTAAAGAAATCTTTAAGACTTAGATCGGGACTAGATGGAGGTGGTCCAATAATTCCATGTATTCTTCCGTTAAATACTGCCATGTTTTTTGGGCTGTGTGCGAGCTTCCATTTCTTGGTGGAGGATGATTCTTCTTTCGGGGTTGATTTTTTGAAGCTTGGTGATGTCTTTTGGCAAACAAATGGTGGTTTACCAATCAGCAGTAACAGTTCTTTGCCCATTAAGAGGAATTGTTGCAATATGACCCGCTTTTCACACAAATGTCGCGACCATCTTTTTTGAAACACTTCGAGAATGGATGACTTTTGTTGGCTTTTCTTCACCCTTCGAACACCCAAACAGGCGACTGTCGTTTGTTTTCTGGTTCATAACAGTAAATCCACGATTCATCACCACTAACAATGCTGTACACTTTTTTTGAGTTTCCGGAATTGAAACGGTCAAGCGTTTTTTGACACCAATTAATCCTGGCTGATTTCTACTATTCACTCAACAGGTGGGGTATCCAGCGAGAAACTAATTTTCTTACTCCTAATTCTTCGTGTAATTTTTTTTGAATTGAGGTGTTTGAGATCTTCAAGGACGCCTCAATCTCGCGATATGTTACATATATGTATATCTTCAATGATGAGTTTGCGCACAGCATCGACTTTTTCCTGGGTGACTGCCGTTTTTGATGCACCTACCCTGGGATCGTCGCTAAGACTCACCCGTCCACGTTTGAATTATCCATACCAACGGGAAATTGTCGTCTGATGTGGCGCTTCGTTGCCGAAAAGAGACAGTAACTCAGCAAGCCATTCTTGTTGCGATAATTGTCTGTGAAAGTTGTAATAAATTATGGCGCGAAAATGTTCTCGGTTGAGATCCATTTTTCTAATGACTTGGTGACACTTAAAAATTCACTGTAGTGAGAACACTGCACGTATGGTTGTGAAACTTTGCATTTAAGTTTACTAAAGAGTGGGGTTAAGATTCAGTACTGACGTTCGATCCGCGCGGCCTACTATGTTTCTATATGCAAAACTTAAAAGACATCCCTTGTATGTATCATATTTGCAATTTAGATAAACATGATTTTTGGGAGGTACATATATTTTCTGAAAATTTGGAGCACTAACCATCTAAGCCATCAGATTAGTGAAACCCTTACAGATAAAATGCCAATATAGATATCTGCTATTTTATAAAATATAATAGTTTGTGTATTACTAGTGTGTATTGTGTGGGCTCCTTGGTTCAACATTTTTTGGTCCCCTTGGTTCAACTTTTTTTGATCCCCTGTTTCTATGGAAGAAATACCATTGAAGAGCAAAAAAAGACATAAATCTGTCTCAGTGCTTATCATTATGTGTGTATGGGTCCCCTAAAGAGATATTTCTTTTAAGTCAGAAACTTACAATCATTGAAGGGCAAATCCTTGTTGAAACTCTGACTCATGGAGCATTCTACTGTTTTGTCTCATGATGGCTATGCCTCTGCAAATGTAATGATTCACAGAATTTTTAATTTTGAGGCAGATTGTAATTGTGTCTGATAGTAAAATTATCCTATTCCTAAAAATAGATTGAAATTCATCTTTACCATATCTTCATTTCTAATGTAATGTGAACCAAATTCTAATATGTTTAGTTACTTCACCTACCTAGTTGCATTTAAGGCTTTATAGTTAATATCATTTCCTACCATTCAGTAGTGGTATTTTCAGAGCAATGTGGCCAGATCTGCTAATCAAAAACCATATTAGTTAAATTGAATAATGTTATTGATTGGAAGATATATAGCCATGAATTGTATAACTTCCCTTGTCAACTTTAGCTGCATTCATATACAGTAATGGACAAAAGTATATAGACAAATAAGAATATTTACCTAAATACCTTTAGAAAACGAATTCATACTTCATTGCTCCATAAACAAATCCGTTATTAGTAGAAAAACTAAATTCCTTGTTTTTACATTATCTGCAATGAACACAATACAAGTCTGAATATAAGCACTTTTTTATGAGGGACAAAAATATGTTTTTAGATAAATTCTTTTCAACATTAGTTTAGTACAGTTTCGTGTCAGAAGAGGATTAGCTTGTGTTCATCAAGTATTGTGGAATAAGTTGAGTGATTTTAAGACCATGCCGCGTGGTCTAGAAATTTATTTCGATGTGAAAACTAAGATCATTGAGTTATACAGAGATGGTCAACGTCAAGTCGACATTGCCAAAAATTTGTAGCTGAAGCGTAAAGTAGTTTGGGCAATATTGAACAAATATAAACAAAAAGGTATCTTGAAAGCCTCTAAGAGATGTGGTCGGCCTAGAAAACTAAATACTAGATCAGTTAGATTAATAAAAGTAATTTCGTCCAAAGATCCGTTTAAAACCCCAAGACACATGATAGCCGACATCGAGACAAAAGGAATTGTCAGTGTTTCTACGAAAACTATAAGTAGAAGATTAAATGATTTGAAGTTATTTGCACATCGTGCGAGTAAGAAGCCGCTAGTCTCGAGGAAAAACCGTAAGGACCGATTACAATTTGCACGGTTGCATCTTGATTGGAGCATCTGTGACTGAAAGAGGGTATGTTTCAGTGACGAATCCAAGTTCAATATGTTTGGATCACATGGTGTTCATTATGTTAGATGTCCGAGTGGACAAAGATTGAACCCCAAGTTCACTTTGCCCACTGTCAAACATGGAGGCAGGTCTGTTATGGTTTGGGGGTGCTTTTCGGTGTTTGGGATGGGACCTCTACATAGAATAGATGGCATTATTGATAAGTTTGTATACATAGACATACTAAAGCATGTCATGTTACCCTATATGGAAGACAATATGCCCTCAAGATCAATCTTCCAGCAAGATAATGACCCGAAGCACACTTCAAATCTCGCAAAGAAATTCTTTCTGGATGAAAGAATACCAGTTCTCAGATGGCCTTCACAGTCTCCCGATATAAACCCTATTGAAAATCTGTGGGAATACTTAGATAAGCAAATACAAGATAAAGATTATTCAAACAATGATGGACTTTTTGCCGCTTTAGAGCAAAAGTGGAGACAGATTGATGAATCTTATATCAAGAAACTTCTACAATCTATGCCGAGACGATGCCAGGCGGTGCTTGATGATAATGGTTATGCTACAAAATACACAAATAAAAACATGATTGGTTTTCTATAATTCAATAAACTTTGCTTCTTTTTTCTATAATTGTTTTGCTTTGTCTATATATTTTTGTACTTCATAGTTCCAGTTTTTTCAATTATTTTTTTTATTGAAGGGAGTCTAATGAATTTATTTATGTATAAGTGAGTATTATGCTATAACGAATTATGTATACAGGTTGGTGTATTCATGAAACAAGTTAAAAAAGAAACTTTTGTCCATTACTGATCAAGATATCCTGATTTTTTCTGAATTTTATTTGATAATAAAAAATCCCATCCAGAATTTTTTACATATGTACACATAAAGGTAAATCTGGCAATCATGTTGTAAAAATAGAGGGCATCCCTATAGGTGGTTGTATGCTAAAGGATATACAATATACATGATTATATATGATATATATGATTCGAAGAATATCCTACAGTTTTTTCGAATTTGGCAAAGTTGAAAACATGTTTCACTTATCCACATAATCTTTACAGATTTTTTTTTAAATGCCCGTCTTTGCTCATATCTTTGATTTCCCTCAGTTTATGTTATCTGCTATTTTCACCGCCTCATGGAGCTCATTTTACTCCAATCTGAAAAATTATGTATTTTTATATATGTTGCCCTTGCAAGTACAATAAAAATATAATAACAATAATAATGTGTTTGTAAAATATCCTGTTCAGCCAAATTATACTCTATTACTGGTTCAAATATATAATTATCATAGTTATTTATTTATTTTAACTTGTGAATTTTAAGCAGAATTTTTAGTAGTTGCAGTTAATCCTAAAATAATGATTATAGTATGTTTAAAGTTTAATTAGCAGTCACATAATGATGCTGAAAATAAGAAGCATCAGATATTTTCTATTCAAAGTCCCTCTAAATTGAATGTGATTGATGACGCATTTTAGTAGACTTATGATTTTCTGAATATTATTGCGCTGTTTTTGACTTATCAAACATAACTTGTTTTATTTTATATCTCATTAATATTATTAAATAAAATATTGACGGCCTATTTAAAACACGTAGTCTTTGCCATCATTCTGATGTTTTGCATATTTGTCCTCGAGCACATTTGTTCTTAGTTAATGCCCAAGACTAAGAAGTTGAGATGCTGATGGTACAGTGTTGCCAGTTTGTATCTATTTTACATTCATTTACGTGAGTGGAATGGTATACGAATGCTGAAACACAATGTTGAAAGCACGGAGAACAAGCCCATTTTTTCTTGCAAGAAGTGCAACAGATTTTTTTATTGATTATCCTTCGAATACTGCTTTGTAATTAATGATAAATCTATATTGGCGCCATGATAAGGCATTAGCCGCCATTTTGATAAACTCCTTCGATCAAATACCTCTTAAACTAATAATCCTATGTAAAAAAGGCAACGAAACAATTTTGTCGGGAATTATGTTCTTTTTGTTTTTATAGAATTTTTCCGTTTATTGAACAGTTTACCATAAATTCAAAGACAAAACTTCACGTGATGACATTTTCGCTTATAATGGCTAAAAAACTATCCATTTATGGGTATGTCTAGCATCTTTTTTGTAGAGAATAAGATGTATTAGGTTTTTTCGACAACTTGTTGGTTCTTGAAGCATAAGGAGTGAAAGTTAAAAATTCGTATCAAACAGTCTGACATACTCCACATGCTAGGTACGTTGTCTACGTGTCAGCATAATTTTCCATGTGGTGATAACGCCATAATCATTATCTATGATCAACACCACCATTTCAAAGTTTATATAATTTTTTCTATTGGCGATTTTGTAGCACTGGGTTATTTCAACAACCATTGCAGCAATTTTAATGGAATGGCAGGTGTAGTAGATAATGCTAGTTAGTGTATGTCATCACTCCCCTTCCATTAAAATGGTCGATATGGTTGCTGAGGATTTGCAGTGGCAAAATAGCCAATAGACAATGGAATTGAGTGACTTGCAATATATTACATTTTCCATACTTACGCGTGGCAATAAAAATGGCATTTTTGATCATATATAATGGTTATGAAGTTATCCTTACATAATGTTGTATCCTGTCAGGTGGACAACGTACGCAGTGGGCAGAATATGCCGAATGACTGATGAGTTTTTAACTTTAGCTCCTTATATTTCAAGATCCATCACGCTGTCGAAAAAATGAGGTTTTTTGTAGCAAATTTTATTCTTTACAAACAAAAGATAGTAGTCTTTATAGGCACAGTTTGTTAGTTTAGTCAACATGAGCGAAAATATCATTACATGTAGCTTTATCCTTGACTTTCTCACAGTTTGTTGAGAATACTGAAAAAATCTATAGAAACAAAATGTTGGAGGATTTAAATCCTTAAAATATGTTTCTATTTTTTTATATAGGATCGATAGATTACGAAATATTTGATGAAACACGGTTACCAAAATGGTGTCTAATGCACCATGCCTAGTACGACGACAATTTCAACAACTTATGATTAGAGAACAATATACATCACAAACATGTTCTCTTGTAGAATTTTGTTATACAAAACCTGCTATTCCTGGCCCAACTGTGGACACGATATTTGAATAATGAATACCTTGACCCTATGGTTCGACGTCCTGACCGCTGCGGTGATATCCCCCATTCACGATTGCTCCTTCTTGTCAAATTTGACACAGACATAAAGACATAACACTAAAATTATTCATTAGCGTAGAAACTTGAATTGATCAGCGCAATATAAGGTGTCTGACTAAATATCTGAAATTGGCAGCACCTGAAAATTACAGTAACATGACGCCAAGCGATTGGGAGTGATCATGAATGGTGGCATTTACAGATTATTCAACGCTCAGAAAACGCGTTGGCAATATTGTCGTTCGTATAATTTGCGCGATGTTTTCAACGTTCATATATCAATAACCAGTGATGTTCAAATTATTTAAGAATTCTCACAAAAGCATGTGCCATCGTAGATTATAGGTTTACATCAACTGTTTTTTAAATTCCAAGTAAGTTTATAACCATCTTATGCTTATTGAACAGGTGTTGGTGCAACAGCAGTCGTACACGGGGCTTTCTGCAAACCACGCAACGAAAAATGCGCCATCAAGAGGATCAATCTGGAAAAATGGAACACGTCCATGGACGAACTGCTCAAGGAGATACAGGCAATGAGCAGTTGTAACCATGAAAACGTCGTCACATACTATACCAGTTTCGTGGTGAAGGAGGAATTGTGGTTGGTTCTAAAACTGTTAGAAGGTATGTTGATATACAAGTAATTCCTTAATAAGTTGTTAATCTGTTGGACCCTTATCGAACCCAAAAAATATCACAAATTTCTTTAAAAAAAAATATCTGTATGGGGTTCCCCTATGGAGATACATCCTGTTTAAAGATGCCGCAGAAATCATTTTTTAATAACTATTGAACGACAATAATTCAAATAAATTTTGGCAGTTTAGTAACCAGTTGAGATCTTACATGGTAGTATCCATGAGAAACAACTCAGTCAGATCGTCAGGGTGACCTTAACGCATTATTACTCATTTTTCCACACTGTATAATAATGGTTGAGGATTGATTTTTTTTTAATGTTTGGCTGAAGAAAAACGTATTCTTGTTTGATTTTGACGAAACTTCAATTTTTGTGATAGAGATTTTTCTGTTAAAGGTGATCATTTTTAACTGTATGTTTGTATATTGCTGGGTCAGTTCAAATTTCTTTTGCTTCATTAATCGTAATTGATTATTCGGACATAATTGAATTGGCTCAATTGAGCAAGTATGCAATTGATCTGGCTTAGTATGTGCAATGTGCATTCTTAAAGGGGTTAAGTTTCCCTCTACTCTGCTACAACATTCGTTTTTTTTTGCTAAGAATGACAATACATAATCCATAGTCGGTCGTCGTATCTCCACTTGAGTCGTCCATATTCTGAGGACGTTTCAATTGCCTTGATATTTGAGAGTGGCAGAAAAGTTGTCAAAACAACGTAGTGCTTTTTGACTTTATTTGTTTGAAATTTGATTGAGAATATGTTCTTTCTAGACTTTACAAACATAATAGATAGACCCATGCATTCCTTGAAGAAAGCAGTGAAATAAGTGAGATCGCCTTCATCCTTGAGAAAGACTTTTAACAAGTGCATCTGGTACTTAAGGCTCTTGAGGCAAATGCGGTGTCTTGAGAATAAGGATGCCTCTAGTGAAATAATGACTGTTCGACCCGTAGATACTTACAACCATAACAACACATACTTTGTTTATCACGGAAAAAAATATCATTTTACTTAATTTCCGAAGGTCAAACGTTTTTGTTGTCTATAGCTTCTGACTATCTTACTGCATGCCTGTTTCCGCTTTTGTTGATTTTATTATTATATCATGATATTGTTTGTTATTTTACAGGTGGAAGCTTATTGGACATAATCAAACATAAGATGAGAATAACGAATTGTAAACATGGTGTATTCGATGAAGCAACAATAGCAACTGTTCTAAGAGAAGTACTGAAAGGGCTCGAGTACTTTCACAGTAATGGACAGATACACAGGTAGCATATTGTGGTATTAATAAAATCATCTGTTGTTATTAATAAAATTAATACCAACAGAAACAATTGAACTAATAAGTGTTTACACCTCTATGAACTGTTGAATGTTGCGAGTCTCATCATATATTTTGCATGAATCTCCATGTTTCAGTGGTCAAAAGGCAGAAGTGGAAGATTTATTGACGTTCCAGCTTCCTCAGTGGCCTTTTCCAAATCACAAGCAATGGCAATATATTGGCATGACGTAGTTGAAACGTCTGTTAAGTCTTTCAATTCTGCATCTGAGGTTTCATTTGACATTCAGTGAAATGTGGAGATTTATCAGCGAAACAAACTCAGCATAAGTTTCAGATGTTGCATGGTTTGAAACCTAGATAATCTTATGTTTAACAGGCAGGACAAGTTGTTTTGTAGTTCTACAGGTGATAATGATTAATTACCATTTTTTTGTTGCAGGGATATAAAAGCAGGGAACATATTATTAGGTGAAGATGGTACTGTCCAGATAGCTGATTTTGGTGTTTCAGCCTGGCTAGCTACAGGCAGAGATATCTCCAGGGAAAAAGTGAGGCACACCTTTGTCGGAACTCCTTGCTGGATGGCGCCCGAAGTTATGGAGCAGGTAAATATACACATTTTACCTTCTCAATATTATTTTTCAAGTTCTATTATCTGAATACTTTGGAGGCTAATCATTTAGTATTCTTTTGTATCATTTAAATTTCTCACAAGTTCATTTACATACCAGAACTGGTATACCCAAAACAAAAGTTAACCTAATTTTTCCTTGAGAATTTAGTTGCTGTAAGTGCAGACAGAACCTTGCCATACATGCAGTAACTATTGGTGCCTTTGTACATTTGAAGAGATTTATTGCTATCATATTTTTTCCTATTCAAGACTTGATCTCTCTCACTGTGAGTCATGAGACAAAAGATCAAAAGATATGTTTTATATACTTCGTGGCTGATATGTAACTGGCTGGTTTGTATCTTAAATATTTGTGAAATGAAATAAAATAAGTCCATTTTTTAATCTTATATTAAAACATAGAAATTATGTATGAAAAATAATATTAGACAAATGTCCACCTCCAGAAGCCGCGCAAACCTGAGCCCTCTTGATTACATTTTCCGTCACTTTTTGGTAGGTTTCGGGAGGAATATTTTAAATCGCTTCCGTAATATTGTTCTTCAGCTCTACAGTATTTGGTTTGTTGGGATAAACCCTCTTTTTCAAGAATCCCCATGAAAAAAAGTCAGGAGCCGGTGACCTTGGTGGCCAGTTGACATAGGCAGCATAGATGTTTTTAGCAAAATTTTCTTCAATGGCTTGCTTTTGAAGTTTATAATGAATATGCTTTTCTTTTTCCAGGATCATGGATATGACTTTAAAGCAGACATATGGTCATTTGGTATCACAGCAATAGAAATGGCCACTGGCACTGCTCCTTATCATAAATATCCGCCAATGAAAGTGCTCATGTTAACACTACAGAATGATCCTCCTAACTTGGATACTGGTGCTGAGGAAAAAGATCGGTACAAGGTAAGCTTCTATTTCTCAATCAAACTGTTCTACCTCGATGGAACTTATCTTTACCTTTTTTTGGAACTTCTTTTGAATTAGTAAACAAACATGACGGAATTTTATTACGTAATGATAATTTGTTGATATGTGTGATTTGAATGTGAGTGGTTAACTGTTATTTATTTATGCGTTTTGTTATGATGAGGTATCGTGAAAAATAATTTTGATTGCCTTAATAATTTTCGTTATTATGACCACAAACCACTTGTCTGCAGGCCTATGGGAAGTCGTTTAGAAAGATGATAACTGATTGCTTACAAAAGGAGCCATCAAAAAGGCCTACTGCCTCAGAGTTATTGAAACATCCCTTTTTCAAGAAGGCAAAAGACAAGAAATATTTGCAGCAAACCCTAGTCGCGATTGGACCTAGCTTGGAAACCAGAGTGCAAAAGGTAAATGAAGACATAAGTGTTACTCATTCTATCAACAATATATCATATACATGGCCCTGTGAATAGCATGGGTGTTTATTAATCTACAATATTAAGTTGGCCTCCATAATGGTTTCTCTAAATTGCAAAACCTTCTAAGTGCCATTTTCTTAGTTACCTAATTGCGCAGCTAAGCCCACCCACTTTGTATCTGTTACCATTTCATACATTGTAGTGTCGAATTCCATTTTGCACACACACCTACACACACACACACACTTCGTACATCTAGAACTGTCCCGCGAGTGTCGAGATTTTGAAACAATCCACAAGAAGAAGCTTTTTCCAGTTCTACTAACCTCGGGCAGTTCAATAATCGGATTAACAAAATTTCTTTGGGATCCTCATAGCAGTCGCTGCTGCTTTGGTATAAAAAAAACACACACATTGGCCAGCGGCCTTACAAGAATGATGTTCTCTAAAAGAACGGCCGTAAAAGCATGGCTCCGGTAACAGAAAGGACAGGTCTAAATCTGTATTTGACTTGTCTGCATATCGAAGTACTGTTTCACTGCTACAATGTGCTGAACGCAATCCAACCAACTACAGTCTTCTACATGAACACATAGAATTTGAGCAAACATCTGCCAGTAAACTTCACTACTAACACATTACTGTAAAGACCATTACTATGTTTGTTTGTTTACGATTTATTTAGCATGGTTGCTACAATTACATTCCCCTAAAAAACTAAACAATTACATAACATACAAACATTCAGAAAAAAAACAAAATTTGCATCTCTAAAAATTTTCATTGTCCATGAAATATTCCTTTAATTTTCTTTTAAATATCTTTAAATTACAAGTAGACTTTATATCATTATTTAGTTTAGTAAGAACATTAACATTTTTTAGTCTTAATCAGTCCTTTACGAATTTTGAGGCATGCTTGGGGGTCATTATCTTGCTGGAATGTCCATCAGAGAGGCAATTCTTCTTCAACAAAAGGGAGCATGTGTTCACTAAGAATATCTTTCTAAAGTTTTTGATCTATTTTCCCAACAATTTTAACAATTGGACCCGTTCCAGAACTAGAGAAACTGTCCCAAACCATGACGTTGCCTCCACTGTTTGGCAACTGATACTTTTTACCGTACCGTGAGATCTAAACAAGTTAAATTTGCTTTCATCGCTCCATAAAACTGTATTCCATTGTTGTTCTGTCCAAGTTAGATGAGTTTTAGCAAACTCAAGCCGAGCAATCCGATTTTTTTTTAAAATGATAGGCTTTTGCACTGAACGCCTACTAAAAAGCCCAAAATCCACCAAGCGTCTCTGCACTGTTCTGACAGAAAGATTCTCGGCATCCTCTTCTACGATTCTTTTGAAAATCTGTGTGGCTGGCATTCGAGGATCGTCATGGGACAAACCTCCGTGTTGCTGTTGATCCGTATTCTTGATATTTACTAATAATTTTCGAAATCGTCGCTTTCTTTGACAAATGTCAACATTTCTGACACCACTTCCAGATAATTCAATTACTTTGTCTCTTAAATCTTTTGAAAATTCTTTTTCTTTTGCCATTCTCACTTAATATTTACCGCACGCAATATCAGAGTATCGCAGAACGAATAAATACGGCAAAACTGAAATGTTTCCATACTTTTGTCGTTACAAAAACTGTGGTATTTAAAAAAGACGTGTTTTTATTTTTAGAGAATTTGAAAATCTATGGTATGTTAGAACTACAATGGTTGAATTTAAAAAAAATCTCATGTTATTTAGTTCTCATTTTCGAATTCAAATTAAAAAATCATTTATTACTGCCAAATTTAGAAAACTTCACAAAATTTAATAGTCATTATCATAACTAAGAAACCAGGCAGTACAGATTTTGATCTCCAAAATTGTAATAGTAGCATAACTAGCAAATCTGCATTTCAAAAAGGAGTATTTGAATGTGTTAAATTGAACAATGAATTAAACAGTGTTCAAATATGAAAATGTTTAAGGTGAAATTAAAAAATCACTTTGTGGTTACTCAAAATGCGTAGTGATGTAATTTTAATAGACAAGAATATAAAATTACAGAAAATTGATCAAAGAACAAGGTATAAACGAATAATTATACAAAATTGATATTGTAGCATTAATGCTAAATAAATCTTCAACAAACAAACAAAAATTTATGAAAAGTTCACTTTGATCCTTACTACATACAGACTATGAGAATTAAGAGACAAAGAAATTCTTTACTATCGCCTTCTATGTAGTCTGAAATCGTTGGTTGCATTAGTCTATTACGTTTTCAGTTCGGTAACAATTGAATTTGATTTGTTAGGCATCCAAACGACAACCAGGTACGAGCGGTCGACTGCACCGCAAAGAGACTGGTGAGTGGGTGTGGTCTAGTGAGGATGAGGGAGACAGCGCCGGAGGCACGGGGGCGGAGTCCAGCGACAGCGACGCAGAATCCAAGCCTATGAATACGTTGGTGTCGGCAGGGTCGTCAGGCTCGGATCAGGAGAGTCAGGCGGACAGCGAGCCACCACCTGTCAATTTGGTGCTCAGGATGAGGTAAGTTTGAGTGATAATTAATATATTATATACCTTGGTGAAGAACTATGCCATTATTGATCGAGCACTTTTATATACTGAGGAGCATGTGCGACGACAATAATGGCCTTCTCTACCGAGGTATGTATAGAATTTTCACTAATTAAGGTATAATTTAGTTTGATTAGAATTTAAAATATAGCTTATCTGATAATTCCCTTAACGACTACGTGGGAGTGGAACATTGCCGGTCCATATTAGTATTACAGTAAAGATAGAATATGCTACATACATTGACTCATATGTTTCCCACTCGTAATGGGATAAATAAATACAATAGACAATAATAATTTCAGCTATAAAATAGGCTTTTAGTAAACAATAATTAGTAGTAATATTCAAAAATGGATAAAAGACTTAATAGCAGTGCTTAACAAGCCAAAGAAGTTTCCTAATGAATGCGCACATTCACTTTTTACCTAGGATTTATTCATTATCATTATTTACCTAGAAGAAGAAACGTAACTACTCATAGGAATGCGGTAAATTATGACTGAACTCAAATTGTAGCTGATAATTGAAAGGAAAGCGCATGATCGTCGACATACTTTCTTCATTGCTTAAATGAAGGATTGCAGGACCATGCTATTAACTGCAATGTGTTCACATAGAATGAATTTATGAAAGAGATACAGTATACTGTTTACCATGCGCCACAATACTTCAATACATTCTGACGCCCATTTAAATGACCCCTTCAATTAATGTTGTTGATGTTGACAATAGCTAATATGCTGATATTTAGTAGCCGTCAGAACTGATTTCACCAAATGTTAATCCCAATTTATTTCTTAGCTGAATTGAAACATAATCTTGACAATTATCGGATATACTATTTAGTAGTACCAAAATTTACCTAAAAACCTTATGCAGAACAACGTCGTAAACGCATTAGTCGTTCGGAAGTTCAAATCAATAATTGATCAACTGTTATCGTTTAGTGTATTTTCATATCTTCGAAGGTAGCCGCTTATGCCAAAAAAAAAGTATTGTAAATTACTGTAAGACTTTATTGATTTTATAAAAAACTAATGGTTATGATTAATAGTCTTTTAATAACAACGCTCAACTGCTTTTCCTTATCTTATTGGTTTTTCCCTGAAAATTCTTGTCCGCTTTTACTTGCGTCTTTTCTGACTATCCAAAGAAGTAGGCGCCAATCGGTAAATTTTACATATTGCTACCAATCTGACTGTTATATTCAAAAATCGGATTTACTTATCATATATTTCATCTCCGATATATAAGTCCCCTTAAAAATAGAGCACTGCCTGGAAATAAAGTTGTGGTCAGGGAAGCATCAGGATCGTTTTCTTAGCATTCAGGATACCCTATAAGTAATATAAAAACCTTCCATCTTTCCTTCTAATCCCAATGTTATTCCTTTTTCCTGTAGAGCTCCTCACCGCCAGTTCCCAACCTTCAGGTTTGTATGCCATATTATTTATTAGTATTCCCACCGATCTTGCTGAGATTTAATTCATATTTTTAAAATTACACCATAACAGCACTAGGTTATTATGATAACGTTGATTTGAGTAGGGGTCGTCGGAACGCGGTTTTCGCCCAAAAATTACCGTGAATAGATGTTGGCCTCGCAACACATGCCTCTACTGCATTTTGTCCATTGTGCTGTAATTTTAGTTAGTGAAAATTCAGTCAGCGAAGAATTGTAGTGCGAGATAAATGAATTTAACAGTACAGGTTTTTCGATATAGCCTATGTTTTCATGTGTTTTGAATTCATTGAAGCCCTATATTGCTGTTTAGATGATTTTTAAGTTTCTGTTTTGTTAAATTTCATATTCTTTTCCGAAATATTGTACATATTTTTATTTCTTAAGCATAAAAAAATTGAAACAGAGTTTATGCAAGTTTTTGTTTTAAAATAGTGGGACACATCTAATTTTCGTTAAAAATATCATTATTTCAAACAGTTTTGGATCAGGCCATAAATATTAAATCTTTTGCTAGACAATAGTAACACTTAATTGATGGTGATATGCAGAATCTAGTTTAATAACAGCGGAGTTTGATGTTATTATCTCCTAATAAATTTGTATCCTTGATTTGCAGTAGCAATTGTTTCTCCATTGGTATTATACTTTTGCCATTATATTGTGTAATTTAACAATAATTTCAATGGTCCCATGTTCTCACAACTGGTGAAATATAACGACTTACGGAAGAATAAACCGAAAAATGAACAATATTTTCAAATATGAGATTTGTTTCCCACTAACTTTCTTAAAACAAAAATAAGTGTCCATGCTAAGACTATGCATAGTCTCTCACTTTGTTTTAAATAATTTTAGATGATTGTCATCTAAGTGCAGTACAAGTACAAAACTGTTTACGATCCCACATCATTCTACGAATTATGGTATGAATGAGTCAGGTACTAGGATTCTTAGATCTGGCAAAGTCGTTGTAAGCTACAATATATGTTTTCAGTAGCAAAACTAGACACATGAAAAATGTGTCTATTGATACTTGGTCTGTTAGGTTTTAAATATAAGTAGATTGGGTATCACATGAATCTTTGGTTATTCTTTAGTTTAATAATTTATATAAAGCCATTATAATCTGTCACATAAACTTAACGTTTTTGTATGTAATGGGAAACCGTAAATAAAGTGATATAACGAGTTAGTGATTGATATTTCCAAAATAACGGGTAAATTGTTTCTACAACTTACATAAGAAATTATGTAGTTTGATAGCAGTCACTGAACATTAATGCATCAAATTATAGTGAATACATTACATCAGGATATCAAAAAACCAATAGTTTTGTATTTATTTTGCGCAGGCATCATTTATTGTTAAATTTCTCATACAGAAAAGCACATAGGACGTAATGCTGTTGAGGGATGCGTTCGGAGGCCAAGATTTACAGGAACTTTTTAGACGAAATACCTCTTGCTGTCCTGACGGCCCTTCCTTGTATGTTATGTTCTAGAATTTAATAATTATACTAGGCCCATTTATTTAGAAAATTCTGACAATGAGCTTTGTTCTTCGTTTTAGGAACGCCAAGCGTGAACTGAATGATATCCGCTTCGAATTCGCCGTCGGCAAGGATTCAGCGGACGGCATTGCCAGCGAGCTGGTCGGTGCTGGTCTGGTCGACGGCAAGGACATCGCCGCAATCTCTAACAACCTACAGAGACTCATCGAGCAAAGGGACACGCTTAAGGTTGTCACTTTTCAACTGGTGAGCTACATTCCTTATTCTGTATCTAGTCAAGTAGAAAAACGTTTTAAAAACAATTGCTCAGCATAATAATTTGTGTATGAATGTAAAATGTTTGGCCGGTTGAGAAAGAGGATCTATATTTTTAGTTCTTGCGCTCACCATTTTTTATTTGGTCTTGATTTGAGGTGGAGAACTTTCATCCAATATTAGGGATGTTACGGTAGTGATGATATCGGAACCAAAGTTGATTGGCTTGGATATCTATCGAATTTGTAGAGATATAAACTCATCGTATCTAATCATTATATATGCATGAATTAGAAACAGCATATAAATTGCTGTGCAGGAACTGTGGAGGCATCGAATTGACCTTTGACTCCATTTTCCCATTATTGGTGTAGGAAGTAAAATAGTCATGAAATGAGGTGAACCTTTAAGGAAGTGTAAATGGTTATTATTTGGACAATTAATCAAAATGCAACAAAAAAAAACGGATAAATAGTAATTCCACAACTCTTGAAAATAATATCTCGCTTGTTTATGTACACTAGTATGTATATTAGTATTATATATATAGTAGAAAAAAAGTGATTCTTCGATTGATTGATATAATACATCACTCTGTTACACCATTTTTCTATCGCTTAATATTATAGATCATCACCTGTTATTCCATTAAATAGCATTTGAAAATTACGAGTAAATTGATTGGTGAATTTGTATCAAAATCTGCAAAAACGTAATATTTAGTTCAACTGTGCACCTTTTTGAACTACCAATACCAAATTGTAGGGATTGAATTTAAATTTACTTACGAGTATTTTTTTCAGAACTCGCCTTTGAACCCCAATGAAGTGCCAGACGATAAAGCCTTGATAGGGTATGCGCAGATATCAATTATGGACTGAGATAGACTAATTTCTTTCACAATATATTCATGTTTTTTCTGGAACCTACTGATCATTGTATATATTGTAGATAGGTTTTTTAAATGTACTGTTAGCTGTATTCTATTTTCAAATGCTAACAAATATATAGTTTTTTGTTTCATATGATTTAACTTTTTTTGTTAATGATCAAATTGAAACCCGTTGCATGTGCAGTATTAAATATTTAGTCTGATGTTTATATGAAGTTCTGTACTTGAAGGCTATAAGGCAGCTATCCACATTGAATTCTCATTCCCTGTTGGTTGAAAGTGGTGAACTTTTTCAGTTTGATCTTTAACATTACATACACTACTTGCTTGTAATCAGTTGCTGACTTCAGATCACGAACGTTGAGGAATGCAATGTACTGACGTGTCTTGGACCACAAAATTACAAAATGTGGGAAACATTCAAGTTATCAATGTTTAAAAAATATTAGCGCTAAACTTGTCCACCGTCAGAACGCTCCTTACAAGAAAGTATCTGTATATCCTTTGATATTATGTTATTTAAATAATTTATTTGACAATAAACAAAAGACCTGCCTAAAATTTGGGTTATCACGTGTTGATTGCCTTTTTTAGGATTTAGTTTACGAAAAAATTATATTAATTGTTGGTAAGATCAAACGTGCCAATCTCTATTATGCACAGTCATAATCAAAATTTATGGATCGTACATATTTGGTTTAATTTAATCTGACACCATTCTGCGTCTGTACAGTTTTAATCAATATACATGTTTTGATTTTAGTGCTAGCCGTTTTTCCTCTTACAAATGATAGCACATCTTCATAATTATGAATTTATTAAAAAAATATGCAGGTATTCCACCAATCTAATAGCGCTGATTAATTTTCTATTAAATACCCGAAGGTTTGGGGAGTTCTGACATTAATAGACACATCATTCAAACTTTTTTCTTGAAATTAGAGAAGTAACCTGATGATGTAAACGGTTTTCTCAAAAGGATTTATTGTCGAATATTTTTATATGATTTTTTTAATTATGTCTCAGCCGAACCAGAAAAACCTGTGTTTTTCTAACAAAACTGAAAATGATACAATGTAATGTTGAACGGTGCCGCTCATAATCTGAAAACTTGAGAATTTTAAAGATGTATCTAGTGTTTTTAAAACCTGCTTTAAATGGACTAAGAGAGCTGATATTGTCGTTTTAAGATGACTAATGGCATCAGATGATACTAGAGATTGTCACTATTTGATTAGTGACTTTTTGAAAAGCACTCAAACTGGGAAAAATATTTCTTCATAGATTACAGTTTGACAGATAGGAGATAAAGCATAACTATGTCGATTAATCTAAAAACGTAAAAAAATTTTGTGACGTTGTGTCCGCAAATATATTGACACATTCGTTTAAGAATTCTGCACGATTTTCAAAAATATTTCTCCCAAAAGCTAAGTCATTGGACGCAGTTTCAGTGCTTATTACACAGTCCAACAGCCATTTTGGTGCCGGAGATGTAAGAACTGAGTTTTAGTATTTTTGTCGCGCTGATTCCAAAAATAGCTATTTTCTTGCTTTTCGAGACATAAGTGATTTAATATTCAAAAATTGCAAGATGTGCTATTTTCGATACCGAAACAATATTAATAAACGAAAATTTTAATGTTTTCATAGTTCCTAAATATTCTTCAAACAACCATTAAACATTTCCGAAACATTTAATGGGGTATTGTAAACTTTTGTTTTTTAAGTGCTTTTAACTAAATTTCAATGTTTATTAAATAGTAAGTGAGCTTACTTCTTATATTAAGAGGCGCATGCCTTAAGATGTAAATTTGGCACATTTTGCACTTTTTCAAATATTAAATGGCTTATATCTCGAAAAATTAGAGATGCTACGAAAAATACAAGGCAATTTTTAAATCAGAGCATCAGGAATATTTAAAATCATTCGTCTGCTTCTTCGGCCCAAAAGTTTTTCATTCTGTTCAATATATTTTCATAATTTGTACTTAAATAGTTCCACTGTACCAAGTTTTCAATTTAAGGTAGTAATAATTTCATGTTATTGCTTGCACGCAGTTCTTTATAGATAATTTGAAATAGTTTGTGAATGTCCTCAGAAATGTTCAATTATGTTTATACAGGATTTGATTTTTTTGATCTTGACTAAATTTCCTCATCTGTATCTATTAAATTGTGTTCCTCTTTCATAAGTGCCTTTTCTCTGTTATACAATTATCATTTTTAGCTAAAAGTCATGTTTTTACTTTTTTTTTCAAAACTTTGGATTGATGCATATCGAATGAAATAAAACACATTTCTGGGAGTATCACATCAGTCGATTAATAGTTTTAAGGGACGCCAACAGAATGCCTTGATTTATTGTAGAATGAATAGTATTTTGTCAACCTATCTGCTTGATATTGTAAGATATCGAAATAGCCTAGGGATTATAGCGCCTGTTTAAAGGCAAGCCAATACTGTTTTAAGTGATCCATACTGAGAAATAATATTTGTACATGGGATTGGTAATTTCTATATAAAAATATTTATTTCAATAAAATAGTTGCAATGTTACTGGTTGTTTGAATGTTTTCTTTTACACGATTTTTTTTTTCGAAACACCTTAAGGTGGTACCGGCGCGTCAGTCGAATATAACCATTCTCCCCAACCACAAGCCATACCAACACACATAACACGCCTGACTGCAGCAAAATCGGACTGACTGTGGACAATGCTCAATTTCCAAACTGATCACTTGATACGACAGAAACTATGGATATATCAGTTTTCTTGCTAAATATTTCAAAAGCTAATTGAAGACACAAGCGGATAAAGGTGTCATGTAATCATTGTATGGAGAAAATTGACTTTTTTATTGAGACTTGTTGCCCGTTAGGATCTGCCAAATCTACAATTCATTTATAATTTAAAACGGAAACTACCAATATAAACAATTCGGAAAATTAGACGTGGCAACAACCAAATAACAACCCTAATTCTTAGTTATTTGTTGCTAAGGGAAAGAAAGAATTTAATTTGCTGTCAGTTACGTTTGTGACAATCTTGGTATAGTGAAAATCAGTTTATCGATTCAGATTTTCTTCCAAAATGGTTTACACACTAACTGAAAGAGTGGAAATGATTCTAATTTGTGGTGCCCAAAATCAATGTGCTCGGCAAACTGCCGTCACGTTTAACGCCAGACATCTGGGGAAGATAACTTCGCATAGGTATGTTTTGGACATTGTTACTAAATTTACTCAAACGGATCTGTTGCAATTAAAAAACGTGATCATCTAAGAGTTTTGGATGAAGCCGCTCAAGTTGAAGTTTAGGGTCGTTTTGGAATAAATCCTAATACTTCATTACGCAAAATTGTTGCTGCGACTGGTATTTCAACAGGCTCTGTACACACAGTTACTACACTCCATAAATTTCGTCCATTTAAAATGAAAATATTGCAAGAGTTAACCGAAGATGATTTAGATATTCGAGTTGAGTTTTGTGAACAAATGACTGCAGCGGTTAATGATAATACCATTCATGTAAAGAATATCTGCTTCAATGATGAATGCACATTTTATCTAAATGAATTTGTTAATAAGCATAACTGCTAGTATTGGAGCAATGAACATTCTCAACCCCCCAAAAATTAATGTATGCATTTTAGGAAACAAAGTGATTGGGCCATTGTTTATTAGTGAAAATTTGAATGGAGACATTTATTTGAATATTTTGGAAAATACCATCAATCCGTTTATCACTGAAATCATTGAAAACCAAATCGAAGAGGATGGAAACACTATACTTGGTCCTCCTATATTCTTCCGGTTCGGCAATGGCTAGTTGACGAGTTTCTAGATAAATGGTTAGGGCGAAGAGGGCCTATAGAATCGCCTGCTAGATATCCTGATTTGATGCCGTTTTTCTATGGGGCCATTTGAACTCTATTGTGCTTAGTCCCCAACCTGAAAGTTTGGATGAACTTCAACGCAGCGTCGAAAGCCACAACATGTTTTTGAAAATGTCCGTCAGGAATTTGAACATCGCCTATATCATTGTTTGGCTAATAAGGGCAACATTTATAACACTTATTGAAATAAAAAGAATACAGGGTGCGGCAGAGAGGACGGACGTTTTTGGGATGGGTAGTACTCTCCGCCTCCGTCTACGAGAGAGATGGGGAAGGTTCAACAAACCGGCACCTTTAAAGCATTGCTTGATTATGTCAGTCATATGCAAACCTTTCCTCTATTATATAGTTCACTGGTGATGGGTGGAGCTACGCTTTCCAGTAGCAATAAGCAAGTGTGACATGAAAATTACCCTCGGCTAGTTTTTTTTGTTGTTGTGCAGACTCAACCCTGTTTAGTAGCCTGGCAAGTTACTGAGATATGTTCAAATTTTTAAGGAAGACCTAATTGACATTCGGAATTTGACAAAGATTTTGATATTGTGACAATGTGTGATGTTATGCTCTGCTGTATGTGTTTTTGTAAATGGCAAGTATATTTATGGAAGTGCATCCTTGTGTTCCTGTATGAGTCCATTATGAAGTATGGCTGTGAAATATAAGAGTAATTCACAACTATTGCTCAACATATTTTTTTATTCATTGAATAAACTTACAAACAACATCTTACAAAAATAAAAACTAATTTTCAAGAAAAGATACAAAATCGGTCAATTTGTACAGCTGATCTTCACTGCTAGTCTGACCAGCAGGCTCTACAACTTGCCTAACAGGATGTATCATGTTGGTATCTGCTTCAAAAGACCATCCTTTTTCAGCACAGGCAGGTATACAAATATCTGGGGTCAGGCCTGTCATAGCACAAACTGTGTCTATTGTGATTGATGAGTAGGCCTGGGATATTAGATCAACTGCTCGATTTCTGATTGATTCTGCAAAGAATTACTATAGCTCAAGTTATACCAAGAATAAACAAGGTTTTTTGCAGTTTTGGCTATCCCAGGAGTGCCTTTCAAGGTGAGAAAATTGAAAAAATATGAACTAGAAAGAACTGAAGATCCATCCAATATCTTCTTATAGCTGTGCTACTATAAGCATTAACAATAAAAAAACAAATATCAAGCAAAATTCTAATATGATGCATCATCTCAATTCATTCCTGTTCAATATTTTACTAACCACTATTAATGTTTTTAATTTAAAACGTGGAAAAACGTGCAAGGCTTTGCCTATTTAAATGCCTTATTATAAGTGTTTTTGTTTTTATCAAATATTAGTAACTGATCTGCTTCAAAAAAGGTGCTTGCCTAGCACCATGGCATATTGAATTTGCAGAACGAAACAATAAACTATAAAAAAAGAAAATGCAACCTACCTTGCACTTCTTTCATTATATCTGCAACAGTATCTGACCAAGTAACTTTGTTCAGTGCCTTATATATTCCAGGAAAATCTCTCCTCCACATACACTGTCCCACAGCCCAAATATTTTTCAGTTCTGGGGCTGAAGTTTTAACACTTTCAGGGATTCGTTTCCACAAATATTTGGCGTTACATCTGCAAATCCATCAATGGATGGTATAACCATAAGTTATATTTAAATAGTAGATACTCACAGGTCATTTTGGTATAAATAAATAGCAAGTAATTGCTCATACAACTGTGGTGTTGCAACGCCATTTGGAGCCTAGAATAATAAATAGTAATGAAATTATAGCAATTTATTAAAGCAATAATAACTTTAAAATGTACCTCTAATTCTTGTTTTTCTAAATCCTCAGCTAGTTTATCAATGTTATTGTTCATGACCATTTCCAATTTGTTTTACTTATAATACACTACAACTGACTACAACATAAATACAAAATCATCAATCTTTCAAAAGCAGATGATTTATTATTATACGACAATAAGCAAAAAATGTTGTAAAGTTTGCAAATATTTTGATACTTGACAGCTGATTGGCAGTTACGGCACACAACAACAATAATTATAACCATTAAAGAGCCAGAGAAACGGACCAGTAGAAGGCAATGAGAAAATGTTCTACGCAATGATAGACTCTGAAAAGTGCAGGATCGATAGCCAAGATACGTATCGTTTTAGTCCAACGGTATTAACTGCTTTCCATGTTTCCCAATAATTATGTAGGCTGTATTTTCTTAAAACAGTCAGAATAAAAATTCTTAGTTCTGTCCAGCTCTATAACTGATGGAGAATCTGGATCATATATATGACCGATGCTGTGTTGACTTTGACAATTGTGACCTTGACTGGGATTTGACGTTTTATGTTGTCTTTTCATTTACCGAAAATCTTTCACAGATTTTCTGATGAGTTTTTGGATCTATCAATTTCCATAAATACAAGCAAATTAAATATAATTTGAGCTATTAATATAAGTTGTAGATATTCCTAATTGAAATATGGGGGTTCCGAAATTTTTCCGCTATATCAGTGAAAGATATCCATGTTTAAGTGAGCTTGTAAGGGAATACCAGGTAAAAAATGAAATATCACAATTTTTTATAGAGAGTATGCCTTACATACTGTTTTCTTCACAGATCCCGGAATTTGATAATCTGTACCTTGATATGAATGGAATCATTCATATGTGCTCACATCCTGATGATGGGAACCCTCACTTTCGTATTACTGAGGAGAAGATAATTAAGGATATTTTCCACTATATTGAAGTACTCTTCAGAATGATCCGTCCTCAGAAACTATTCTTCATGGCTATAGGTCTGAGTAAAATTATATATCACATCTGATAGTAATACCCTCTCCACACTCACGCGCGGATCACGGCGTGAAATAGCGGTGCGAATTCCGAAATTTGTTGCTACACTTCCACACACGCAGATGTTCGCGCCTGCTTCACAGTATAGTTTGCGCACTTGACTAGTATGGATGGTGAAATTGCTACTGCTGCTGCAGGGGTACTTTGCGCTTTGGCAATTTATAATTACGCATGTATAAGTAAAACTAGAGCAATTGAAAAGAAGTAGAAAAAACACAACCATTCCTGGTACTCGCTATGAGGCAACTGAAACAGCCTAGTCATGTGCACGATATGTTCGCGCCTTGCGAACCTTTTGTCGCGGGACAAAAAACCGACAACAAACGGGAACAACGTGCGAACGCGACATGAAGCCGCGAAGAATACGCGAATGGGATCTACACTCATGGATCGCGAGTAGTACATGGCTTCGTGCGTGAGTCTGGAGAGGACATAATGGTTTTTCCTCTTGCTTTCTCTCTTATAGTTAATAAGAATCTCATATCTGGTCATTCAGTGAATGAGCGTTTTTGTAATCTTCTTATTGGAATACCACCTAGTATATATATTTATTATGGTGTAACACCTTCTTTTATCGTCGTGTCTGTTTTTGCTTACTATAGTGGGTTATTTTTGAGAGACAATTTTCAAATTTGAACCAGTGCTGCATCCACATGTGAGCAATTTTTATAAATTATACCCTGAAAAACTCAGAAACACTGATTTTGAGGATTAATTACAAAACGCAAATAAGTACACAAAAAACAGCATGAGAAAAATCCACAAAAACGACCAGTGAGTATATTCCTAATCACCATATATTTACGAAAGACAAGATAATAAATAAGAAAACAAACAGGCCCGTATCCGGTTGAAAATGGTAGCTAGGTTCAAATGTTGCAAAACAAAAGAAGCTCTTTCTTATTTTTGCATATCATGCCATGCAATTTTTCACGCGAGCTGTGCAAATAGATTGAGTTCAATTGTAAAGCTCTCAAATAACAGAGTATATTGTTCTGCTGCCTGTGAATCGGAGGATAACGAGCATCGAAACTACGATTCTTACACTACAGAAATTAACTCATTAAAGGACGAGATACAAGATAAAGAGAAACATATAATTAGATTAATGAAGAAGGCCAAGGATTTTGAAGAAGATGTTTTTGAATCTGAACAAAGTTTCATAGAGGAGCAAAATTCTTTTAAAGACCAATTGAAAAACCAAAAAGAAAGAATGTGTACACTACAAAAAGAAATAGTCGACGCAGAGGAGAAAAACAAAAACCTTCAGAAACAGATGGACAGTTATGAACAAATGACATGCAAACAGAGATGACGAAGCTAAAAAATATTCATGCCAATATGCTGAAAACCATTAGTCTTTTGGAAGAAACAAACAATGCATACTCAAGGAAAATAGGCGAATTAGAAGAAAGAGCAAAAGAAGACAGGTGTCGATTGTCGGAGAACTCTGAAGGAAATGCCAACGATCAACAGAATATATTAGACAATAGGGATAAACAGCTGAGGACAACTGAGGAAAATGTATCTTTGTATGATGAACTTTTTAAACAATCCAGGAACAGTGCGAAGACGTCCAAGAAACTGCTCATTGTGGGCGATCAATTGGCCAGAAACTGCGCTAGAGTCTTACATAATTCAATGAAGAGCATAGGCTATATAGTTGAAGGAATTGTTAAGCCCAACACAGAGGCTGCAAATATCACAAGTAATATTTTCACTCAAACTATGGATCATGGACAAAGTGACTATGTAATTATTGTTTTCAGCACAAAAAACATAAGCATCCACAAAACATGGAACAGTTTTCTTAGAAATGTATTACCACTGGGTAAATTTACAAATCTAGTAATTCTTCTAAAGTCCAAGCCTGTAGATGAAGCCTTAGCAGTTCTATTGGAAAACAAAATAACTAGTTATATTAAAAATAACCCCAACTGTTCAGTGAAGTTTTTAGTAGTAAAAAATGGTTTTCGCAAATCACCGGCAAACATCATAAGAAGTCATTTGCAGACGAGCTGCTCTACCCTCAAAAGAAACGTTTTGTTATCGCCTCCAATAATTCCAACTTATAAAATGGAACGTCAAGTGCATTGCAACAGTGATAATCCTGGTGCTTTTTTACTGGCCAGTGGGAATCCGATACTAATCACCTAGTACGACATGATTCGGGTAAACAGAATGTATCGAAAAATTCCTTATCACACGCTCGCGTCTGTGAAGTGCGCACGAATGATTGTCGGTATAAACTTTTACATTTAAACGTACAGTGTTTGAGAAACAAGGTTGATGAACTTGAGTTGGTGGCAAAACAGCACAGTTATGACTTTCTTTGTTTGAATGAGCATTGGTTGACTTGCGATGAGATTAATACTCTAAATATTTGTGAATATATGAATGTGTCTAGTTTTTGCAGGTCAAGCAAAATCCACGGTGGTGTTTGTATTTATGTCAATAATAAGTTTAGTGCTAAGCCTTTGTGTGACAAGTTTTAAACATTTCTGAGGAGTTACACTTTGAGGTTGCTGGTGTCACCTGTTTGGATATCACACAAATTCTAACCATATATAGATCACCAAATGGAGACTTCAATATATTCTATAATAAGCTTCAAATACTACTTAGTACTTTAGACTATAAGCAAAATATAATCATATCTGGTGATTTTAATTTTAAATTTAACACTCACGACAAGCATGCCAATGTGATGTGTGATATTTGTGTTTCTTTTGGACTGTATCAGACTGTGAATGTGAATACTAGGCAGAATGCTTGTCTAGATAATATTTTCACCAATATAAACATGTCAAGCATAGTTGTAGAAGCCTTTGATACATGTTTTTCTGACCATTTAGGTATTGCATTTCATTTTAATTTGAAAACTTTAAAACCTGTTAGGAAGAGAATAAACTACAGGCCTGTCACTGATGAAGGTCTTTTCAAGTTATACAGAAAAATTGGAACAGTCGACTGGATCTTTTTGTCTGATATTAGTTAACCACTGACCACTAAACTCGAAGGATTCATGAACATCTTAACAAATAATGTCGCTGAGTGCTTACCAATCAAATCTAGGTTAGTATCAGAGGGTTGTCGCAACAAAATCAACTGGTTTGATCACGAATTGGCTCAGATGAGAGAGACTTTGGAACTAATAACACAAATTAATAAAGATAATCCCCAAGTAGTATCAAAGAAGGAGATTAATGTATTCAAATCAAAGTACCGATCAGAAATCATAATTAGGAAAAAAAATGCTCATGATAAATATATACATAGAGCGTCAGATAAACAAGCAGCTATGTGGAGCGTGATTAAATCCAATGGTGTGCAATCATCAAAATCACATTCGTCTACTCTCAACGCGAATGATTTAAACTCTTTCTTCGTCAGCATTGCTGAAATTCCAGCTACCCAGTCGAACTTCAAAGATTTTATACAGACTAGTGATACACTACATTTCAACTTTCGAACTGTTTCATTCAATGATGTTCGAGACGCAATCAAAAGCTAAAAGAATTCTAAAAGTAAAGATCCATATGACATCGATGTTAAAATTATGAAGACCTTAAATAACTTGTTAGTATATCCTATAACAAAATTGATAAACATGTGTATAGAAAATAATCTTTCCTGCCTTATTAAAACTTGCACTCTTCAAGAAAGGCTGTGAAAATGATCCATGTAATTTCAGACCCATCTCTATAATACCAATTATAGCAAAAATTTTCGAAATTCTTCTGAAGAATCAGATATGTGAATACTTCGAAGGTAACAATTTATTCTGTAACAACCAGTTTGGATACCGTACTAACAGATCAACGAAAGCAGCAATAAACGATTTTATTAGTTTCATCAACAAATGTCTGGAAGATAACATGTTTGCTCTCGCTAACTTCTATGATCTTACAAAAGCATTTGATTGTGTCCACCATCACATTTTGATTCAAAAGTTATCGCTGTATGGTTTTAGTAATAATAGCCTGTCCTTAATTGCGTCTTATTTATCAGATAGAAGACAGTATGTTAGTTTTCAAAATTGTTTATCCAACAATGTACATATTAAGCACGGAGTTCCCCAAGGAAGTGTCTTGGGACCGATTCTTTTTTTGATCTACATCAATGATCTGCCAAACTGTAGCATGAATCAGTATATATTATTTGCGGATGACACGACATCAATATCCTCCAATAGTAACTTTGACCATGTATTGCTCGATTCTCAGCAGCATTTTGACAACATTCAAAACTGGTTTAATGCCAACAGTTTGTCAATCAACATAGCGAAAACTCAATCTCTTCTACTCAGTACTCGTCCACATAGAAGTAATTTAGTAGAGCCCGTGAAATTTCTTGGAGTGATTATTGATGCAAGCTTAACTTGGGAATCACACATCACCTCTTTATCAAAGAAGTTATCTAAAATAACATATATGATACGTAGTTTAAATACCTACGTAACAAAATCGACTTTAATGACTGCCTATTATGCTTACTTCCAATCTAACTTGCAATACTGCATACTGATTTGGGGACATTCATGTCATGTATCGAAGGTGTTTGCTGTTCAGAGACGATGCTTGAGAATAATAGCAAACTTATATTTCAGATAGTGTTGTAAGACGACATTTATCGACCTAAAAATTTTAACTGTGCCATGCATATATATACTAGAATGTCTGATCCACGTTAAAAATAATTACGATGATTACAGAACTCCGAAAGAGATTCACAAATATAACACAAGGTTCAACAATGAATTAATACCAGAGTACACAAGACTATCAAAAACTAGACACGGAAGTAATTATTTCGGTGTGAAATTTTTTAATGCGCTGCCCAAGTTTTGTCAAACTCTCAACTCAACCATTTTTAAAGCAACTGTGAAAAGGTATCTAGTGACGAAAGCTTTTTACAGCATAGATGAGTTTTTAAATAATGATTTTACCGACTTTGTTCCATAATTGTTGACTATTTATTACTTTGTTTTCGTTTGTGTTTTTTATGTGTTATTTTTGTATTATATTTTATCGTTCTCCGGACGTGTGTAAGGACTTTTGAGTACAAATATGAAAAAATGATTACTATTTCATAATTTTTTAACCATCTTATTTTATTGTTCATCTAAATTTTAAAATAGTTTTATCAAGTTTTTTTTACCTTTAATTGCCACTTTGTGTTTTACGTTTGTCTTATTTTCGTATTGTTTGTTACTTTTACTTACTCTTTTATGTTCTACTTTAAATGACCTGTGCAAACACATTTTTGTGTAATAGTACCAATAAATTATTATTATCAAAAGCACAGTTTTGCCTATTGACTTGAAGCATATATATTAGGGATGCACAGAGTACTTGGCTTATACCTGATCTTCTGAGTAAGTTTTACTGAATACTCAGTTTCACAGAGTATTAAAGTCTGAGTACTTCAGAAAAACAAAGATCACAGTATATTTTGGCTCAAATCAGTAGCTTGATTCGTATATCATTTTTTTTTTCATACAAGATTTTGCAACTACATGTTTTTTTGTGATGGTCATGACATGACAGCAATTGTTTGAAAACATTGTTCAACAAATATGTGGAGCATATACCTTTCAAATGTAAACCTTCCATTTATGACTAAGAGTTCAGCTTCACAAGTCCACAATAACTATTTTATCATGTTAACATTGTTTTACAAATATGCTTCTCTTGTAATAGGAAAGATTGAAGTGTCTATTGAAAACGAAATGTTGGTCATAATTTTAATTCAATATTGAAGTTGCTGAATTCCAGTGGTGTCTTTATTACTTGAAAAACATATCACTAGATTGTAGGGATTGCAAGACTCAAAATATTTAGATAACAAAACTTTTGAGAATACTTTAAGCTATGGTGCCTATGCTCAAGAAAACTACCTAAGTTTTACCTTCTTGGAAAAGTAAATCAATTTTTATAATGAGACCCTCAAAAAACTCAAATATAATCTTATCATTATATAACTAATAGTAACTGAAATAAACCAGTGCTAATCACTTCACTTTAAAAAAAAAAAGTAATACTTGAAGCAACCCTAGTATGTATTCAATGATAAGTATACAATGATACATTGAAAAAATGCTTTAAATCTTGTTTAATGTTGATATGCATTCCTTCTATACCTCCATTTTATAGTTGGTTTTGGATAGAATGACATTAATGATGATTATTATTATTATTATTGAACTTGTCGGTGTGATGTTTTTTAATCTGTCATTCAACAGCCTCAGACATATATACATATTATTTGTCATTTATTTATCTGAGCAGTCTGACCATCAACATTTTTTAAAGTAATTTTTTTCTCTCTGAATCACATAAAGGATTTTATCAATATGTGTTTTATATCAAATCAATTGCTCAGCTAAATATATCACTGCTAACAATTGATAACAGCAACAGAAAAGAGTATTGTTTATTAATTCAAGCAAACTCAGTAATAATTAAAGTGTGCACTGTTACATTTAATGATTCATGTAGCATGCACTAGCCTCCCAGTGACATATCCAGACTGATACATCACATCTACCTTCAAATTTTGTAAAAAATAGCAGGAGTGTGGCACTTCTATAATATACTTGTATAATACTGAGGAACTTGATATTAGCTTGGAAACAACAAAATTACAAGTGACAATAGAGTTTTGGCAAACAAATACTGCATACATAAACATTAGCGTTCTCCTTTTTTGACATTCAAATCATTAGGTAAATGTCTAATGAGGTTAAACATAATAATCAAATCCAAGCGGATAACCAAAATTTCCGTATTATGTACCGCGGTTATAATATGGTTCAAGATGACACACGGGATGGTGACGTCAGTTACTCGAATCGCTTGAACGCGTTGGTTTTAACCGCGGTTTGTTGCAAGTTGTTTATTTTAGAAAAGCGCGTATATAATTTCTGATTATTTTTATTATCACTTAATAATCGGTACTTTTTCGTCTACAACGGGGTATGGAGAGTTGAAAAAAAGAAAACTTTCATAATATTAATGAGAGGAATGTTTTTTTCCAAAAAAAATTTTTACTGATAGAACCATGGCTTTGTAGCTATGATAACTTTCAATTCTCTAAACTTTTCCGCATGTCAAAGAAAATATTTATTGATTTAGCGATGAAAAAAGATATTAACAAAACCGTAAACAGGTGGACATCATCCAGTGAGTTTATACGGCCATATTTTAATATTCTTATGGTATATGGCTATACAGGATACTTTTTTAAGTGTAGGAACTAGATTTAAAGTGTCCCCAACAACAGTGATGATTACAAATAATGCTAAAACTGAAGTCAGCCTGTATCAAGTTTCCCAAAAATGAAGCTGAAGTACAATAAAAATATCCAATACCCGGCAAAATTCTAACTTGTCACATGTCAAATAATAACCAGAAATATAAAACTACTCCGGAGTTGGGTAAATACCACAATTTTGCGGTGATAACTATGACATATAACAGCTGATTCATGACGTCACGGATCTTATAACCAAACTGATAACCACACTCGCTTGAACGGATCGGTAAATACCAATCCAAAATGGTAAATACCATTTCAATTTGGTTATCCGCTTGAATTTGATTAATGTTTATGTATACCCTATTTCACGAGTATCCGTCATGCTTTGACGTCTACTGAGGTGAACAGCTGATCAGCTATTGACATTTTTGTGTTAGTCTGCAACATTGGCTATAATGTGTCAGGTATAAATCTAACAAAAATTAGTTTGTAGCATTTTGTTTTTTATATACAAAAGAACTTTTCTAAATAAAAAAGCTTTTATTAAGTACAAAATGAATCTTTAGCGTGCAAAAAACCAAAACAAAATATGGCTCTGCCTACCTGGCATTGACGGATCCGTCAGAATTATGTGACCTCTGCGGACATGAGGAATTTTGAAATATTACTAGATAACCAGCAGTCATCCTACCATGATGGATACTCTTGAAATAGGGTATAGGTGGTGTTTCTGTTTGTATTTTTACTGCAAGGAAATATAAAGTCCCCCAGAGTTGAGAAACTCTAATTTCCCTAAATATTTGTTTGTGAAATATAGATATTTATGTATTTAAAAGTTAAGACAATGCGTTAGTGTCATTGATTTAAAGTTTTTTTCTGTTTTTGATCAGTTTCTTTAATATTACTTTTGCATTTCCATAATTCTTGTATCTCAGAAATTAAGTGAATGACATACGAAACGTTCTATAAAAAAAATAAATGGTCTTTATTTTTACGTCAGTGAAGTCAAGTTCAAGCTTTTCAACTTAGCTGAGGACCCAGTCACCCAGTGGTTCCAAACTTGTATACAAAATAAAAAGATATGTCACAAAAGTCCAAATCTTAATATTTCAAGTACATAATAGTATCTCAAATCTATATAGACATACAGGCCGAACAAAAGCAACTAAATTGAATCAAAATTTAATATGTAAGAGGAAACAAGACTATATTTATAACATAATAAGTAATAAAAAAAAAATAAAAAAAAACAACCGAGACAGTACTGAATACAATTGGTATATAGGTTTGTAGTCGGGTGATATGATAAATTTGAATTTGAAGAAAGATAATACTGAAATTTCGCGGTTCAACAGATCCGTTTTGAAGTACAAAGTGAGTCTTTCCATTAAGAACTTTTGTTTTATAAATGCTCAAATTTCTTGATTAAGTTTCAAAAAATAAGTTATGTAATTACAGATGAATGATATACATATAAAGTAAAAATAGCTTCAGACTCCTCTATGACATAACAACATACGAATCTTCTTGAAAATAGCCAGATGACCAGAATCATAAACTTTGGTATGGTTAGCAATTTTTAGGCAATCTGATAGAAGTATCACTTGAAGAACTGGGATAGATTTGTTCATTTTCGCATTTTTTATATTTATCTACTTTTTAACTTGGAAAAGAGCAGATTTTCTTTTGTGCTTTCTGCTCACAAAAAGTAAGAATCTAAAAATTCTCATAAGAGGTGGAAATAATAATAATAGTGAAGGTGACTGGTGACATAGTGATATTTTCTACAATGGAGTTATACAACACTCGGTTGAATAAAACCATTTTGTATTGCTTAGATGGTGTGGCACCTAGAGCCAAAATGAACCAACAGCGCGGACGTAGATTCAGGTCAGCAAAAGATGCTGAAAAACAGACAAACCAAGCTATACAAAGAGGCGAGACACTGCCTGAAGAGGCCCGTTTTGACTCAAATTGCATCACTCCAGGAACAGTATTCATGGCAAGGTTACATGAGCAGCTGAAGTATTTGGTTGTGGATAAAATTTCCAATGATCCGCTTTGGCAACAATGCACTATTATTTTATCAGGGCATGAGGTAAGCCGGATATTGTCTGCGAGTATTACCGTTGATTCGCGTATTCTACCTACGATATCCAACCATATACTGTATTCTGGCTCCAAAAAGGTATCTGAAAGATACTCGAGCTATCTGTGAGGCAGCAGCAAAACACAGAAAACAAAAATGAAACTGTTCCAACGTCCGTAGCCAAGCTAAACTATTGAAATATCGATTTTGACATCCGTGTGCGACTAGTCGCCACGTCATTGAGTTGCCTTATCTTTCAATAAATTAGTTTGACAATTCTCAAAACTAGGTTTCTAAATTCATTTTTGTTTTCTGCTAATCTCTCATAGATGACAATTATATCTTTCAAATCCCTTTTTGGACGCCGAAATGGTCAGCTATATGGTATTGCATAAATTTACTCTATATATAAACGTGAACGTCTGTCCATTCTGTCAGCACCACGTCTGAACCACAATATGGGGAGACGTAAAAATTTGTACACTTAGTGATTCCCGAGGAAGGTTATAGGAAAGGTTTTGACGGCGAAGTCATAATGATGATAATAGTAAATGCCAAAATCAGCGCGTCAAGCTAGCAACAACGCGTTGTTGCCAGCGCTACTGCCCCCACTGACCATCAAGGGGTAGATATATTGCATTTCTTTTTCCGAAACCAATTCCTTCACGCTAATGCAACACTATACTTGATTGACACTTTAGGCTAATTTTAAATACTGCTTGAAATTTCATATATTTGTGGCAACAATTTTTGGTTCATTTATATTAGACAATATGATCTCATTATATCAAACATGCCTGATTAATAACCCTTACCGTTCTACTTAAAATAATTTTACAGACGCCAGGTGAAGGTGAACACAAAATTATGGACTATATTCGATATATGAGATCTCAGCCAGGGTATGATCCCAATACAAGACATTGTTTATATGGCCTAGATGCTGATCTCATTATGTTAGGATTATGTACTCATGAACCACATTTCAGCTTGTTGAGGGAAGAGGTAGGCCCAGATTCATTAACAGCTGTTATTTGACTTTAGTGCAACTACTGCAGTAGTTATAGAATTGGAGTATGAAGATATTGCTTTGTAAAAAAAAACTCTCACAACATTGTGGAAAATACAAAAATTCAGCTCAGCCCAAAATTATTACAAGTCGATCTTAAACTAGTACATTCATTTGGTTGTAATGACAATACAAGATTAGATAATTTCATTCTCCTGTATTTGTAACAGCATTACGTGAAGGGCACCAAATAAGCTTTGTTATAATAATTTAGTATCACGCTGGAAGGATTAAGTGTAGTTCTTACAGTTTTATGACCTCAATGGTGTATGGAACTCTATTTTTTTTAGGTGAAGTTTGGCAAAAAATCAAAAAGAACATCTGTACCGGAAGAAACCACATTTTTTCTTCTTCACTTGTCTTTGATGAGAGAGTATCTAGAATTAGAATTTATGCCTCTAAAGGATAAACTCAAGGGTTTTGAGTTTGATTTGGAAAAGATTATTGATGACTGGGTATGTGTCTGTTTGACTTGATCAAAGGAACTGATTGATAATGAGAAGTGTTTGAAACTAACTGCATTTATATTTTTTTACTTCAAGAGTACAAATTCCAAAAAGTTGTTTTGATATCGTAGTCTGTGCACAGGATACTTTCTAGTTTGAACTGCTTCAGTTAATTGCTAATACTTTTTTAGTTTTTCTCGTTTCAAAAATATGACCACGACTTTCTCTAATTGTTCTGGAGCTAAAAGCATTTATTGAATCTTTATATCCCTGTCTTTAACAAAGAGGGCAGATATTATTCACCTTTGTCAAATAATATAATTACAAAACACTACATTATGCAAACGTGTTCATTAAGATATTGCCTCGTGTCATACACACGAACTTTTTCTGATGGCCGTGTGACTTCTCGCAATGATAATGCGATATCAGCAATATATCCCCGCTTGCCCAAGTCTTTAATCCAAACAATCCTCATACAATTATTGATATAAAGCAAAAAAGTTATTGGCGAAATTGATCGCAATTGTGCCAAAACATAACTGAAAATTTTAGTCGATTAACGGCCATTTGTAGAAACAGCCGAGAGGAGCATTTCAATAGTACGAAGTGCTGCAAAAAGATCTGATGGTTTTAGAATAAAAACATATATCTAAAGTGATACAAAATGGAAATTAATGAAAATAACTTCAGAAAATTCGATTTCACCGGTTTAATATCTGAAAATTATGCCTTTCAAATGACGTCCTTCTTTGACCATGTATTCTTCCAGTTCTGCACTGAAGTTGTCGAACATTGCAGGGGACAGGTTGGCGATTTTGTGGCTTATGGCTTTTTTAAGCCCGTCCAGTGTGTGGCGTTTGTGTAAACTCTTGATTTCAGGAACCCCCACAAGAAGAAATCATAAAGCTATGATCTGTGAAGCGATGTGGCCATGCAATGTTTTCAAAACGCGAGATGGCTCGGACACAAAACCTGCTTCTCGAAAAGTCTCTTCATTGGGTGTATGGGCCCATGGGCAGCCGCCCCATCCTACTGGAACCATGTCTTCCTGATCACTGAACAATTTCTCTGCAGTTCAGGGATCCGGAAGTTTTTCAGCATCAACAGATAATGTTGGGAATTGACTGTAACCGTACAATCACCATCTTCAAAAAAGTTTGGTCCAATGACACAACTATCACATCTTAGGGCTATGCAGAGAACACTTATGCAGTTTTCCAGGATTTTTAGCGGACCAATAGCGAAAGTTTTGTTTGTTCACATTTTCACCGTCCAGGTGAAAATGTGCCTCGCCACAAGAAGAGACTTTTTTCATCACTAAATCAATAATTTGTTCTGCAAATGCTTTCTGCCTTGAATAGTCATTGGGCTTTAACTGCTGTACAATAGCCATTTTGTATGGGTGTAAATGCATATCGAAACCAAACGAAATATTCGCCTTACAGAGTGGTCACACTAGCCGCCGAGGACTGGATTCCACAGCTTCTCTTACTTAATCGATAATCTCTTTGATCCGAGCTGACTTTGAACGCCCTGTCGACTTCCGTTTTAAAGTTGAACCAGTAGCACTGAGGGTGCTCACACATAGCATAATTGAGGGGCCTGGAAGTAAAAGGGTTTAAGTACATTTTTAGTAGTTCTGAGATAAATGGCTTCAGAGTTTACTTGAATTTGAAAATTCCAGGAATAAATTTGTCAGAGTATGATACTATATTAAGTTTATTTAAATGCCAATAAAACATTACAAACAAAAAACATTTTCTTAATTTTGCTTTTTTATTGCCATTTTTGCAAAAATGTGCTTGAATCATTATACATGTTACAAAAATTATGGTGGTAACATGATTCAAGTGCAACTACCGTACAAAACCAAACATTATTTAAAAATAATCTATAATAAAATTTCTTATTCATAATCAGAATCTAATATTTGGATGTCTTCATCATTTTCTTCATCTAAATCAGCTGGTCTTGGTTGGGGTTCATCTATATCAGGTACTTTTTGGCTTGATGTCCGGGTCTGTGTTTGTTTCTTTTTTCCTTTTTTTGTTAATGCTTTCCCATCGTGCTTCATGTTTTTATAAAATGTATGGTGAATGGGCGGAGTGTATTCCTATAAGCTAAGCAAGTTTTTGTACTTGGCGACTTTAATCTTTATTGAAGTGCCATTCAAAGGCTTTAGTATTGAAAAGTTAAAACACGGACGCCCAACTTTTGAGGTTGCCATGAAGCAACTGCTAAACTCTACATCAATGTTTAGGGTACTCTTGTATCGAAATGTTAGTCTTTCACTTTTATAGTAAGCAAACAAGCAAATTTCTTTCCATTTTAAGGGGTAACCGTCACTATTTTTTTTTATTGGATCGTTCATAATTTCATTGAACGGCGAAAAAGAGTAAAAATCGTCACTTGAGGGATTTGCCTTTTTTCTTCTCGATTAAGCCAAAACTACGGTCACATTCCATGTATGTGTGCCCGGGTTCACTGTATGCAATAATCTTCGTAACTGTAGATGGAAGGCTTTGCACAAATTTTATTAAACATGATCCTATCTCCTGTGAGACCCTGGATGCAATAGTTTCGTTCCATACATACATATAACTTTTTCCAGTCAGTAAGTCAAAGACACAGAAATTATACATCCATAATTGACGAAGATGAAATACTTTAGAGGTGGTTAACAATGGCGTCGGCAATTCCTGTTGCAAATCAAAACAAATTACATCCGAATTTTTAGAATCATTTTTATTTTCAGCAATACCTTTTTTGGCATCTGTTGCTTTCTGGGCCTTTCTTTGGTGCAGCTCGAGGTCTTGCTTGGCATTTTTAATCACGTCTTCATTTGTAGAATATTTTATTAAATTTTGTAAATTGTCACAACGACTGCAGGTATCATTATAGGGCTTATGGAATCTTAAATTGAATTCCGTATTGAAAATATGCCTGTAATAGGACTCTTTTACTGGTAATTCTTGTTTGTCAACACAAAACTCCTGATATAATTTGTACATCTTATTGATACTTAATTCTCCTGAGAGATACCTTGCGTTCCCAATCAGTACTCATTTTGTTTATTATTATAACACTACCAACGCTGCAAAATGCGTATTTTTAACTAAGAATAAGTAAAACGTTGAAATCACGTCACACGTAAAACATTAAAAATATTTGCCAAAGCCTTAGAAGTAAAATGGTTCAAGTGCACTTGAATCATTTTACCACATAGTTTATTAGTGGATATTTTGATATGTTCTCAAAGACTATGAGAGACGGCGCCAGGGAACGTTACCTGCATTTAAATCATTTTACCACCAAGTTAGGATATGCTTTAGGTATGATATTCTGCACTTAGACCATTTAATTAAAAAAGTGCACTTGAACCTTTTTACTTCCAAACCCCTCAATTGTGTTATGAGTTGAAACTTTCCCTCTTGGGCCAACATTAGCGCCTACGGAACTGACGCTGAACAGCAACGCAAGACTAGCCACTTTTAAGAAAAGCCTCTGCAAGAAACGGACGGTGTTCACCTGACCACTGCTCCATGGCTAGTAAGGGGGTTCTAGAATCCCCACCACCTACACGCTCAACAGTACGCCGGCGAAAACCGTCAGATCATTTTGCCTCACCCAGTATCATTAATAAAACAATAATAATACACAAGCATGTTATTTTCCTAAAATTGTTGGTTTGATTTGAAAACAAAATCCCGGAGTGCCTATCGGGTACCTTTTATTTTTTACGAGAAGCATATAACCTACGCCCTTCAGAGATCACTTTTCCTGAAGTTTAGTTTTTATCCCATTTGTTGCAGGTTTTGATGGGATTTTTGGTCGGTAATGATTTCATCCCACATTTACCAAATATGCATATAGCTAACGGAGCTTTACCGATTCTTTACAAAGCATACATAGATACCTTGCCCCAGTTAGATGGTAAACAATATGTTTTCATATTCCCAAATTATCTTCCAATCATTGATATATTTTAGGTTATATCAATGAGGCGGGAACATTGAATTTGACTCGGTTTGAAAAGTTCATGAAATCTTTGAGTGCTATAGATTTTGAGAATTTCGAAGAGATTAGAGATGATCTGTTATATATGGAGACTAAAATGGGAAGAAAGATATGTGCTCACTCAAAAGTCTCGACAAGACAATTGGAGGAGTGGGAATCTCAGGAGCCCATTGATCAAACATTGATGGGAAGTCTCGAGCCTGAAAAACAGCCGAGAGATAGTGGATTAGCAGCATTGATCAAGAATACTGACGATCTGGTAATCAAAATAGTCTATAGTAATAGGGAATATGCAGTTTTTTTATTTTCAGTCAATTATCTAACACATATATCATTCATTAAAATATCTGTATTAATTTTCAATTAAGCATCTACAACTGCAATACCAATAACGTTGATTTAAGCGACGCATTTTTGGTGCACCTCGCAGTGACGTCATAATCCTCGATTTGTCATTTGATTTTCTTTTTGGTTTGGCTTCATAATAAATGGTCTACGAGATTGATAACGACTAGAAAAAATAATCTGGAAAAGTTAGTTATTTGTATGTCAGAATTTTTATAAATGACATCATTTTTATATCTGTATTTAATAGCCACTCGTGTAGATCTTTTTTTTATATTGATATTCTGTTTTTTCTTATGTACATATGTTGGTTCATTGTGATATAATTTTGGACTCGGGTGTATAAACGATTTCATCATTATTTCCTTTTTGGTGTTGCAATAATTGTTTATTTTCATTTCTAGTATCATATTCATAACTTTTATAAATACCAAAATAATATTTTTCTATTCAAAAGTTTTGATTCTATAAACACTGATTTGGAAGAATTTGATAAAGATGTGTGTTAAGCATTGTGTTTAAGAATAATTTTTCTATCATTTGTAAAGAATTTAGATGATTGTTATTCGTGAATCTCCAGATATTAATTGCATAGGTTATGTGGCATTCAATTAGTATTTGATATAAGATTTTTGTAATATTTGAACTTACATAACAGAAATCTAAGTTTATTTGTAAAATATTGGATTTGCTCATCCCAATGAAGATAGGAGTCTAAAATAATTCCAAGATATTTATGATTTAGTTTTCGCAATATGTATATGCATTTGGAGGTATGTTTTCTTTATAGTTAACTGGTTATATAGTGGTAAACTATTTGTGTAAGAGGTGACGGGAACAAAATAGGCTTTTTATAATTAATAGTTAATGATTGATTATTGAACCGGCCTTTTATCTGTATTAGATCTTATTTATTTTCTTCTTTTAATGTTGTACAAGTTCTGGCTTTTTGGTTGATGCTGGTGTCACCTGTAAATCCTATTTTTTCGCTTTTTGTTGATAGACTCTACAAGTCGTTGATACATATACTGTATTAAAAAGAATTTCTTTACTAATTGTATTTTCAGTTTAAACGTTGTTTTGTGTTACGCAAATTATTTTGAATATTTTGCTTTTGTAGTTATTAGAATCTGAAGAAGAGGATGATCATGAGGAGATATCAGATGAAGATGATGCATTTAACAACTACAAAATGGAGTACTATAAGAACAAATTGGAATATGATAAAGTTACACCGTAAGTTCATTCTTAAATGCATTTTGGGTTCGTTCAATTGATAACTTTGCGATTTTCCAAATGAACTGGGACGATTCATTTATCGAAATCAGTGATATGAAGGTTTGGAAATGTCTCTTATTTATATTTGATACACTATAATTTTAGAGTGAATAGATCACCATGTAGGTTCTAGGATAGTCAAGTAAAATTAATTTTTCCCTGAAGGTATGCTGAACTTTATTAAACTTTGGTCTGTTCCCAGCTAATCACATTTTGCATACTTGACTTTTTTCAGTGTCTGCTCAATTGAAAACATATAGCTGATTACAGAGAGCGGCAAATCTGATGTCATATTCGTATATACGTTGCAAAGATGTGGTTCAGAAAATGCCATCTTTGAAGCTGCTTTTCGATATGTTTTGATGCAAGGTTCTATTCAAATTTGTCCATTTTCAATGAGTTTATCACTGCAGTTCGTCATTAGACGTTTGTAGCTGTAGCTAGTGATGACTTATATTATAGAGGGAAAATCAAATTTGTTTGAATGCTCGATATGTACGAGAGAGAAGCGCGAGAAGTGTGTATCAACACAGGTTAGACAGAGGTAGAAGCAGGCTGAAGAGCGAAGGTCATCACCACATTACCTAGCAACTGTGACGCAGAAGGTCGTGTAATCTGCCGCGTTGCCATTATGTTACCAGGGTTGTTATGTTTTTATCAAAATGTTTAAAACAAGTGTTTTAAACACTGTTTAAAACAATGAAGGTGTTTTAAACCAATTTGTTTTAAACTGTTTAAAACATGTTTTAAACACTGTTTTTTGCCGCTTGTAAATTATTCGTTTTTTTATATTTTTTTTAAGTATCATTGAAATTGATTTTATTTTGCAAAACGAAAATAAAAGGCCCATAGGTTAAAACACATAGGTACTGAAAAATATTCTTTATTTTTTATTAATTAATCAAACATGAAACTAGGGAACTAATACTAGTAAAAGAAATCTGTTTCTTAACGAACAAGTGAACTTAATAAACTGCATTGAACTCTAATACACAAGCAACACAATAATCATATAATATGACTATGTATTTACTATAATAACATTCAATAAGTTACTTAACAAATTTCTATGATAGTATACAACCCATCTTATTTAACAAAAAATCAAAAAACCTTGAATCTATATCTTTAAAATATAAAATCATGGAGAAATTTTTAGTTTTCACTACTTTTTACGGAACTCCAAGTAAAAAACTGTACCTTTATCACAATTCTCCAAGCTACTTAACTTTGCGGAAATAGGTTCGGTAGTAACATCATCATTGTCGGTATCAGAACTATCTGATATATAGTGATAATAATATGAATATTTTGTTTTTCTAACAAACTTCCTTGTTTAAGTCGTTTACAATTTTTTATATGCTTGCGCATTCTAGCCACCAGTGGCACTATATCCATATTGCAGGTTAAACATTTTGCTCTTTTATTTATTTTCGAGCCAGCTTTGACATCAGCCTCCTTAAAATATTTCCACACGGGATCCTTTCACCTCCCTGTCATTGCCTTTCTTTTTTTGCCGATCTTTAATGCCCAAAGAACAAAACACACCACCACGCTACGACTTTGCACATTTGACTGCTGGAGATCGCAACGTGTAAAATTACCCAAAGGCAAACGGTACTTCCCCGACGTCCGCACTGTAGTTTCCGAACGTCCGCTTTTAAATTAAAGATGTGCTCTGATAGAGCTGGATCAAAAATAGTAATAACACTTTCAAGGAACTTCATTAACGTTGCTAGATTATATAGGCAATAGTTTTATAATTTTTTTTACTGTTTCAAATATGTATTAACAGTGTTTAAACATGTTTTTTTTTTCAGCTAAACTTGAATGTTTTAAACAAAAAAAACATTATCTCTATTTTTTTTAAACGTTTTTTTTCAACCCTGTATGTTACACCAGAAAATGTTCGCACAGGCTTTTACAACAGGTTAGGGTACTGTCAAACCCAAGAAGGAGGTGCATTCGAAGATTTAATTTAATATTTTGTTTTGATTTTGATGCGACTTAGTGTTTTAATTTATTTTCGAATTACCTTTGATTTTCACCAATGGTGATGAAATCAACAAATCCTGAGTTATCACTGCCTGCGTGTACACAGGTGAAAACCAAGCCAAACAGGATGACACTCCCCAATGAGCGCTAGATGAGTTCTTGCCAAACTCGTTTATCTATGATCATGGAGGTGGAAACCCTGCCTTGGAATGTACGAGATGCGGTGTTGCCGAGCAAACCAATATTGCAGAATTTGTGGCGATCCTGAATTGATCCGGAAATTGATCCTGAACAGATTTGACACAATTCACAGTTCAAAAATGTGTTCGCTCAAAATAAAACCATTGTACCTAGTGTAACATATTGGCAATGCCGCAGATTGCCGCGTTAGCGTTGGTAGACAGTCGGCTTCTATCTCTTTCTAATATATGTGTCTATACACACTTCTCTCTCCTACACATTGAACTCAACCCATCAGACAAATTTGGTAATCATTAATTGTATAATTTAAATGATTGTTGGCAACGTGACAACATAATAATTTTTATAATATTCTTGGTGGATGGAATACTTATTTTGAATATTTATTTTTTCAGGGAGGTGATGAGGGACCAAGCTGAAGGCTATGTAAGAGCTATTCAGTGGAATTTAAATTATTACTACAACGGCTGCTGCTCCTGGTCGTGGTACTACCCTCACCATTACGCCCCTTACATATCGGACATCAAAGGGTTCTCCAACCAGAAAATCGAATTCGATATGGGCAAACCTTTCATGCCTTTTGAACAACTTTTGGCGGTACTACCTTCCGCTTGCAAGGAACTCCTACCCAAAGCATACCACGGCTTGATGACAGAAGATCATTCTATTATTAAAAAGTACTACCCAGAGGAGTTCGAGACCGATCTAAATGGCAAGAAGCAAGACTGGGAAGCCGTGGTACTTGTACCTTTTATTGACGAGAAACTCTTGTTGGAAGCGATGAAGAGTTGCAATGAAATGTTAACTGATGAAGAACTGAAACGTAATAGTCACGGACCGATGCTTATTTACAAGCATACAAATATAGATAAAGGTCCGTATATAGCACCGGAATATTTCCCTCCCATTCCTCATAATTACACAGATGTAAAGACCATGAGGTACACTGATGTATTGCTTCCGAAAGAGAAGATTGTCAAGGGATTGTATCCTGAAGTTAAATTGGATGTGTATTATCCAGGTTTCCCGACAATGAAACATCTGAAGTACAAGGTAATATTTGTTTAAGGTACAATAAACGACTAGCCCTAAAGAGTAAAACTGTGATCCACATTTACAGCTCTCTCCAATCATATGTGATATGGCAATTAAGTTCATGGAATTAGGAACGTTACATTCATGAACATACATATAGAGATGGCTCCCTTTCTCTTCGTTTCAGTCCAAAGTTGGTATCACTACCACACTTCACTCATGTCTTATGCATATTTTCCTTAAGTAATTTATTTATTATTGCCGTCGTTAAAAGAAGTGGCTTCCGTTTTAAGCAGCGTGTTTGTGATTGTTAGTGAAATCTGTCCGAAAAAATCGTCAGAAGACGATCCATGTTAAAAAACTGGCGTCATCCCACTGATCCTTCCTTCCTTCCTTTTACTTTCTACGCCACTCCAAGGAAGTATTGTAATCGCGAAACATTTCAAAAATGAAATATGTTTTTTGGGTGTTGAATGATATGCATATCACGGAAAAACGCTAATTCTTGACCCATCTAAAAAAAGAAAAACTTTTGTAGGGGTTGAAAATTGGGAGGTTGGGTGTTGTAAATGTCGCATCGTTAGCATTAGTGAAATACGTTGTATTATTAAGAAATTTGTGATCCTGGTAGTATTATTCACCTGTTAGACAGAATATCACACATATTTTTCATAACATTCACTCCCGTGACTAGCAATACCGGCTATCCCTGCAATACTTTACTTTAGCCATTAGTTCTACAAGTTTGATGCATATTCAAAGTCCCTTATCAAAATTGAGTGGGAAGTACAGAGTCGCCCTACTTGACGCGATTTTTTTATTGCCAAATTCCCGAAAATTAACGGTTACACCACGCATGTGAGATTTTTCATTGCAAAGTTTCACATATAATTTCAAATTTCAATCCAGAAAATTTACGAACAGTTCTGATACAAATGAGCAGTGACCTGGAATCTATAAACCATCAATCAGAAATACATAATTTGAAGTTGAATCACAAAATGACAAAAATAAGATTAAAGAGGATTTCAGTGTAGTTATTAATAAATAAATATCTGTAACATATCCAAATGTTTAGATGTACAAATTAACGAGCAGCTTGTATGAGACAACACGTTAATATTTTAATCCTAAGGCATACATACCAATGCTTACACTATACAATAAGAGCTCTTCTCCATGATGCCGCCGCGCGATGTACCTGCCAGACAGACTCGCCTGACTTCTGCCTCCCATCCTACCCGTGTCGAAGATGAGGCTTTTTCTATATCTACTAACCTTAGGCACTTCAAAAATCAGATTAAAAAAGTTTCTTTGAGATCCTCAAAGTAGCCGCGGTGCCCTGGTATTTAGGCTTCTGCCTGCGCGGCTTTTTCGGTGTAATAAGTAATAGGTTCATTTTAAGAAACATATTAGAGAAACGGTCAAGTGAAATCTTGGTTCTCTCTGTCTTCAAATATGGCTTCTTGGTTTATTTTCCTTGTTTAGATCACAAATGTATACACAGAATAGTCGATCGGACTTGGAAAATATTTACCATATATCTGAAAAAACTAAGTGCTTGAATTGGTTAAAATATTCAGTACCATTCTAACATATCATGATTTCCATGAATTGAATGATGACTCCACATCTTCAGTATAGCTTAAGGATAAAATATATTTTAGATCAAACCTCCATAATTTACACATAAGAGATCAAATACTTCTAGACATGTTTTCTAGTACAAGTTTTTTTCATAAAAGTTTTACATATTAATCAGTAATTTCTTTAGAACTTAAACAATTCCCGGCACGAAAATTTAGGGTATCGCTCAAGCAATATTTTTACGATAGACACATGTATAGCAGGTTAACAAGTAGAATAAGTAACTTTATAGTGTAAAAGGTTAGTTTCTTTCATTTAGGTGTAAGAGAAGCTTTAAGCTAAATTTATTATTATATACTAGATGAGATAGAAAATGCAACACCGATTAGGAGTGCTGTAATTTTGAGCATACTTTTACAAGTTTTAGGTCTAATGATAAATAGAAAGTGATTAAAATTTTAACTTGAAATTTCGCAAAATAGCTCGAGATATGCCACCTTAATGTTAATCATGTGTTGAAGCTACACATTCGATAATTCGTCGCGGCATTGATTGGATTAGGCGATTGATGTCTTCTTGGTCTATTCTATCCCAAGGTCATCTGAATTTGGTTTCGTAGAGCCTGGATATAGCGCTGCGCAGTCAAGCTACATCGAATTAACACTAATCCTACCCTGCTGCCGTAAGCAGTGGCACCCCATACCATAACACCCACAGGGCGTGAAGGTGCCGTTCGATGGAATATTGGTCTTTCATCACGACTCCTCGGTACTCTTGTACGGCCATCATGTGTGCCCCAACAGAATCTGGACTCATCGCTGAACACGACGTTCCAATCCATACTCCATTCAAGTCTCTCCCTACTCCATATCGATCGTTGCCGACGATGCTGTGGGGTCAGAGGTAGTACAAGATGTGGACGGTATGAAAACAGTCCAAAAGACCTTATTCGGCGATAAACTGTTGTCATTGTTATTGTCCTTCCAACAGCATCAAACCACTGGTTCTCAACTGCCCTTATTGTGGAAAATCTTTCTGTAAGTGCTAGTTGCCTCAAGTAACGATCATGTCGCTCTATAGTCTGTCTTTGACGTCCAGTACCTCTAACTAGTTATTTTCAGCCTTCTTGGTACCACGCTCGAGAACATCTCATTACAGTAACTTCGATTCGATTCACCCGATTAGCGATTTCTCTAAAAGAAAATCCGGCTTCACGTAACCCGGTTATCCGACCCCTCTCAAACTTGGAAAGTTGAGTGAAATTAGCGCGTCTGCGATCTCTAGGTATTATAATGCAATGAAACAAATGGAACCAACACAGAAAAATCACTGTATATTAAATAAACATGTTCATATTGTTCGGATCCTGATATGACAAAAAAAGTACAGCTCTGAAAGCCTTCAACATTTTATCAGCGTATACTTCCATGATAGCAGATATGTTTACAAGTTTTCATCAGAATTCAATAATTAATTCTGGGTATTGCATTTTATATGTCACTTAGTATTTATTGTAATTGACTTGTTTCAGGGTGAATTAAGAAAAGCAAAGGTGAAGGTATTCGAACAGCCTAGCCGCAGTGAAAACATGATCATCACTATTATCCCTGACGACGATCTAATTGGCGATTATATTCCGGTGGATTTACTCGGATCGAATGTGTTCGTTGGATGGCCTCACATGGTCGAAGCTAGAGTTGTTGCGATATCGAACAGCAGAAGGAAATACGTCAGTAGGGGAGGCGAGCAGTATAACGTTGAGGAAAAGGCGCAACCTCAGGTTGGGCTGTTCTGTCAAGAAATAGCTGGAGCAACGGAAATGTAAGATTGGTTTTGCAAGAATTGAATCAAAGCCTAACTGGCGTTGTCAAATTGACGGGTTCTATGAGGAATCGTCATACATGTTACATATGTGATTTTCGACCTAACTACAAGGTCACACGCGACAGCTTTTAAAAACGAGTGAAACTTGTACTTTAAAAAAGTAGAAAAGTCGTTTTTTAAATCCAAAATCAAGCATAAATGCGTATGTCCCCGTAGTATTATGGCTATAGCACTATACAGGGTGTCCTCAAAGTTGGAACTTTTCTTTACAGAGCGTATACGTCATTCAATAATGAGCAAATTTTTCTAGTAATGCATATATACGTACCAACGCCTTAAATAACCGAGATATTAATTTCCTAATACTGTAAACCAAATGTATCAGTCCTACCCTGCCTCCTCCTCCGAGAATAGGTATGATGTTTTATGGTACTATGTGAGTTGGCATCCAAATCGGAGGCCGCGCGGTGCATAGGTTAATCTAGTTGATAAACAAGTCGCATTTGTGAAAAACCGAAATTGGCGCATTCCTAGAACAACTACGTGGTTGTCGGTTTGATGTTACTATACTGTGAGTGTATGCAAGATCCTGTTAATAGTCCGCGAGTCTATTCATAACGACCTTCTCAATGTTTCAACATAGCTGCATAGGCTTATGTTTACCCGTCTTCCAGGTGGCAGCCTGTTTGTTTTTCCTTTTCTTCGCTATCTTACAGTGTATTGCGACAACAGCCTAGATCGAGCGAAGCCATCATTACAATTTTAAGACGGCACTGCATAAAACCAGTAAAGCTCAAGATCGTCTGGGATAGGCATTTTCTTTCCCTAAAGACGTCCTGCACCACAAAGCGACTAGCGGTCACGTGGTTATCTGTTGTTTTTAAAAACCAGACCCGTCCTCCGAGAACACGAAAACCCACCCAGAACCGTTGTCGCAACTTAAGGGTGTATTATTCGACTACTAATGCTGCATCTACATTGTGCATGGATCTGAAATGCGAGAAATAGTACATCGACAGTTCAAGTGAACTAAATATTATGTTGTTTGCTTTGTTAGGAAATAGTACAGGATGTCCAGTGAGTCACTTTTTTATTTAAGAAAATAAAATAAAAAACTTAATGAAATAAAAATATTTATTACTATTAACATATTCGTAAATTCGGCGGGTTTTATTTCTTAAATATCGTTCCGTCCAAATGTTTGCCATCCCTTCGGACACACTCTTCTAATCGCGCGCGCAAATTCTGAAACACTATCTTGCAGAGTTCCGGAGTGATGCTGTTTATTTATCGTCGAATGTTGTCTATAAGCTCCTCCAGTGCTCGTGTATTATTGGAATACACTTTTGACTTTAGATAACCTTACAAAAAATAATCGCATGGCGTGAGGTCGAGTGACCTAGGAGGCCGGTAAATGTCCCCAAACTTCTATATAACTTTTTGAGGAAAAAGTGCTTTCACCGTGTCCATCGATTCTCTGGAAGTATGCGCATCCTATTGAAATCATGTGTTTCTGTTAATTCGACGTTCTGTTCTTACAATAGGAGCAAAAAAAGTGTCAATCATGTCCTTGTATCGCTCGGAATTTGTTTCATCTTCAAAGAAATACGGCCCAATAATACCATCACTAGAGGATGTGGCGCACCAAACAGTCACCTTTGGACTATGTAGCTGTTGTTGATGTTTATCTTTTGGGTTCGTTGGTGCCCACCCAACTAACAATTATCACTCCTATTAGAGTTGCAAGAATGATTATACAGTATTCCTTACACAGCATTGTATACTGTAAGAACATTGGCAAATCCCTCTTAGAACAGCTATACAAGCCAAATGGGCACACCTAATAGCACACTTCAGTCATTTACGAGGTCGTATAAGGGCTGCAGGTAACAGTTATACAACAAAAGTGTAAGTCTCTTGCAGCCGCTATAGGACATTTGCGTCAGTGCAACATTCACTTTTTGTCAACTCTATACAACTATTCTGTTACGTGATTCTACTTTATTGCAACCAAACTATTTCTTATGTATTGTATAGACGAAGTGAAGAATATACAACTAACACATTACAGTCATATTGTTTACTTACATATCGGCCATTGTGAATTTCATACACAGGTATAAATAAACTTCTACACTGTGATATAGGGCTATTGAATTACTTGCGCAGCAAATTTTATTGTAATTATCGTGCAAAGGAGTTACGCAATTTCTACGGGCTTCGTATTCGATTCATATTTTAATAATGATCAAAAGTATGTCTAGATTTTTAAGATGGAAAACTGAACTTATCTTCGTTAAATCTTCCACAAATCCTATATTTAGACACAATTACACTAATGTTTATCACTTTATATCTGTAATTTCGAACTGAAACATAATTATTTAATATTAAATAGAGGAATAAATGTTTGCCCAATATGGCGGGTGGTTATGTATAATCATGGCATCGTCCATGTTGTCTTTGGTTTATTAGAATATTTTGATGTTGCCTGCAGGTGTTATACAATAATTTGACAAATGTCTGAAATGAAATACCGACAGAGTCGAATGACTTACCCAGAATTTGTACCATATCTATATCTTCTGTTTGAACGGTTGATAAAACCTTTTGGACCAATATGCATGCGTTGTTTGTCTTAAAACATTGGTTATGGCATTTTAACAAAAATATGACAGCAGAAAGTTAGGTTATGGTGAAGTTGTATACCAACATATTTAACAACAGATGTATGCCGAGCACAGCAATTTTGTACTACAAAAGTTGTAATATTGTTGCATATGTACAGCGTTTAACAGTTACTAAACAACATTTGTATAAGTGATTCCGTTGGGAGCAATTCGTTGGCCAAAGTAGTAAATTTGCACAGCAAAACAACAATGCACGGGTTTGTTTTATAAACGTTACCATGGATGCCACAACACAACCATTTTGACTACCGTGCAAATATGCCGTACAAAATAGTTGTATAAACGTTTATGCAACAGTTAAAAGTTTTTCCTATAAGGTGTTGTATAACTATGCTATAAGAATATTTTAAACAGCTCATTTTAGTGCAAATATGTTGCAGAAAGCAAATTTGCATTCCACTTTCCACACAACATTAAGCCAGCATTTTGGTGTTCAGGCAACAACAATAGAGAGCTTGTATGGCTGAACGGTTCTTTTACCAAAAGCTTATAGTACTACTTTGCTAGTTGGGCAATATCTGCAATTTTGCTTGTTCACATAACCGTCTAAGTGAAAATGGGCCTCGTTACTGAAAACAACGTTCTCGAGTCTGCGCTGCGTAGGATAAAGATTCAACATCCATTCAGCACAAGATTTCCGTATTACGTAATTACTTTCCTTTAAAGCATGGAGTGATTGGATTGTATAATGATGAAAAGTCTTTTTTTTTCTTGTTTATGCCATGCAGTGTAGACCTAGGGATTCCCAAAGCAGCGAAATGCTTCCGTACAAAACGCCGAGGATTTACAATAACCAAATCACTTGCTCGATGCTCATTTTCTTCTGTTGATACAGTAGGTATGGGGCCAGGAATGGGTTGACTAAGTTTAGCGCGTGTTTCACGGAACCTCTTGATCCACTTTTTCAATAGGTTCTTAGTTGGGGCATATCTTGGTCGGCGAATCTTGTATCGTTTACAAAATTTCCGAAGGGAAACTGCGTATGAATCACCACTCTTAAAGTAAGCCTCGGTAGCAAAAGCACATTGCGCTCCGGTCCAACGTTCCATTGTGACTATTTAACCCGCATGCCGAACGCGTCGATCGAGACCTCTTCCCACTTCCTCGCGTATACGGTTGCCGCGTAATTCAACTTTGAAATGTAAACTTTCCCACTGGACACCCTGAATAAGACAACAGGTTGGCCTTGATGACGATTCAATAACAAACCATAAAAAATGCTGAAATTAAAAAACTTATAGTCACACATATGTGATTTCATTTGGTGAGACAATCATGACATGAAAGCCACAGGATAAGTTTCAAGCACTGCATTATCTAATGGCGTTTTTCCTAAACCCCGGGGTATTTTCGTGGATATGCGTTATACTCTTGTTGTACCTCTCTCTATCTAAAATCTTTTGTTTTAAAATCATTTGATCACGTTCCGGGTTGATTCTTTGGCTGATGTCACTGTCCATTGATAAAAACAAGTTTATTCGGGAAACGATTAGTAGTTTTTACTATACCGGACGTTCTTTGACTTGATGTGTTAAATTCTGTCACATAATCACCTTGATGCTTTCATCATATTGTCCCTTAACAATGTTAGCCAATTTCTCAGAAGTAATTTTTATTCTCAGATATCAACGACGTCTTGGTATCGACGTGGGTGACACTAAAGTACTCGTCCAAGTACAAGTGCTGATAGGTAGAAAATATATGTTCACTCCAAATGGTAGATTGACATTGGAAAAGCAGTTTGCTCAAAATACCTCAGAATATCCACTCCAAACGGTCGTGTTCAACATACCCCATTATGATAGTGGTATGTCGACGTTCCGTGATGTAGAACAGGTGTTCCCGGTAGACAGCATTTGTTTCACAATAACCAATCCTTATTATGGTTCATATGGAGTGGTAAGTACATTTCATATTGGCATACAGCGTGCGTTACTTATGATCACTCATTATTGGTGTTTGATATGTTTATATAATGACCAATAATTTAAAGAAATTATCTAGGCTGTTCTTCAAACGAAACAGTGTTTGGTCAAAGTATAAAATGAGTTTTACTTCCATGTAATAAATTTTTAGTCTCTGAACCTGAGGAACTGGTTATTTAAATTTTAAAACGCTTTTAGCTCTCCTAAATAATCAATAGTAGCAAATTATCTTATTCTGAAAGATATGAGTTTTTACACTAGATTATGTATGTACTAAAAATGGAAACTTACAATACATATTTTTATAGATACAGGATAGCAGCCTGTGTGCACGTTCTGGCAGAATAAAAATGTGCGTTTCTGTATTAGAAGAGCCTGATTTAGCAGCTATCAGAGATATGCACCTGAAGAGTGTAAGGAATTATAAGACACTGCATAATGTGTCTAGTCAATTATGTGAGTATCGATATGGTCTACGGTCTTTTTCACGATTGTCTATTACGGTAAAGTGACAGCTAATTATCTAGTAATATTTCAAAATTCCCCATATCCACAAAGGGCACATAATTCTGACGGATGCGTCAATGCCAGGTAGATAGAAATATATTTTGTTTTGTTTTTTTGTTCACTACAGATTCATTTTGTACTTGCTAAAAGCTCTTTTATTTAGAAAAGTTCATTTGCAAACAAAAAACAAAACGCTACAAACAAGTTTTACTAGATGTACACCCTATTCATTATTGGCAATGTTGCAGACTAACACAAAAATGTCACTTGCTGTTTAGCTGTTCACCTCAGGAGATGTCAAAGCGTGATGGATACTCGTGACGTAGGGTATATTAATGATAAAAGTCAATAATAACCTGAAATTTAAGATCGTATTCTTAATCATGTTATACTTTACCAAGGGATGGATCGTTGATCTTTTTTATTTTGTCCCTGCTGTTCTATTACTTTTGCAGTTTTCGATACAATCTTAGATAAGCTCAGTTCACTCAGTCATTCTACGTTCGTTTTACCAAAATTACAGATTAAAGATTTCTTGCACTTGCAAAATGAATGCAAGAAATGTTTAACAGAGATTGGAACACTTGACATTTCACTTTGTTATTATTATCTGCAGTTGGTAGATACGGATAATGGTATCAGACTGGTGATAATGAGCTGTTGGTTAGTTATCAGTGCTAGGTATACAACATTAAAACTTTTGTTGTGGGATTTACCTTACAGAAACTTATGTATGAATGAAATTTTTCATGTTAATTTGACAATATAACTAACATTTCAGCAATGTCACACATCGTCTTCACTCGCATCACCGGTAGCATCTTCCTATCAGTGCCGAATGATTCGGGTGGATTTCAAAATGTCAACATTGCTCTCGATCTGAAGTTAAACAAAAAGAATAAGGAGACTCCAGGCTATACGCGCAAAATTGGTGCGACTTGGTGTTATACTGACAAAGTGGCAGAACTGGTAAGGGAGTACTGCGAACAGTTCCCTGAGGTGATGCACTACCTCTCCAAGGATCCTAACTTTGGCGATATCAGACCTGAGGAAGTGTTTGGACCTGACTAGTAAGTGTTTAGATCGTAAATTTTGTACTACATTTGGCCTTATCAGTCAAAGAAAGAACACTCATATGAGGGATTGGCTTGTCATGGCTTAATCTTGGCCACTCTAATAGATGTCTTGTAGGAAATACATAATTTATTATTAAAAATGCTGTGATGTGATGTGTTCCACCTTTTATCTAAAGGCGTTTTCAGCAATTACTTCAAAGTAAGATTGTATGCAAATGCCTCAGCATGAACCTAACATTCCGTAGGCCTCCACATTTTTTGAACAAATCTATATTCTCACTTATTCTAGCTCAGAGAGACTTCAGAGTTTATTAAAATGGTTGAAAAGCTCGCCAGCTCAAACAGTTGAAAAACAGACATGTGGTAGTCTTTTTGTTGAATCAGAAGTTGTAGCAGAATTGGAAAAACTAGTTGATCATCACAAAACAAGTACTAGCAAGAAGGTTACTATGCAAATAAAGCCATCTTTCTTATATAAAGTAAGTGTATATTACATAATGTATTTATTATAATACAGACTTCACTAGGATGAAAGATTGTAAATTCTCTTACTTGTTGATCACATGTTCGAGTACGATTCGTTGTACAAAAGCACACAATAAAAGATTTGTCTACCAGACATTTGTACACATACTAAGATCTTGGATTTTTGAGCTGTATGTTATGAAAATAATCTTAGATCATGTATCAAAGACAAGGGTAAAATCTAAAAACATATTACTGCGTGTCTTGCTTTACTACTGACTTATTTAATTTTCACTTTTTTTCTGTTCTCTAGCCTGAAGTACAAAATGGAACACTGCCACCAGATCCAAAATGTGAAACCAGAATTTTAGATCGTATCGTTAATGTGAGAAGTGGGTTTTCAGTACCTTTTGCTCTGAAGGGCACTGTGATAGGCATTAAAAATTCCCCGACCGGAAATGACAGAGACGTCATGTACGACGTCCTTTTTGACAAGCCTTTCAAAGATGGTATGAAGTTCGATTCTTGTACTAGCGAGAGGGGTTATAGAATACCGAAAACCGCGTTCCTCAATATATCTTATGGCCAAAGACTGATGATCGAGAAGACTGGTAGAACAGGTTTGTTTTTACTATATAGTAGAACTATTATTTATTAAAACCTCATTTATTCCGGGTCTAAGCAAGCATGAACATTCGATCGTCCTTTCTCTTCGCTAGAGTTCGAACATCGCGCGTTGATCATTGTTTTGACGGGGAGTAGAAACTAAAGGGTGCTCCATCTGTTGGTTAATTTTTAAATCGATGGTATAAAATTAAAACGCAGAGTTCTTTTTCCAAACGTTTTTTCTTTTTTATTTGAGAGTACTATCCTCCCGGTTAAAGATGAAACACAATCTCATTCATATGCGCGGCTGAGCTTGACGTAGCCGATTCTGTCGACCCAATTTTTCAGTACATTTTTCAAAGTCTGCGGCATTATCTCACCAATGGCTGGATGAATGTTGGTCTTCAAGTGCTCAATCGTTGCTGGGGCATCCGCATAGCATTTGTCTTTTACGCTTCCCCACAGCAAATAATCCAATTGAGTTAAACCGCAGCTTCGCGGTAGCCAAGTCACATCACCAAAACGGCTAATAACGCGATTTTCGAACTGTTCTTGAAGAAGAGCGATTGTTTCGCGGCTTGTGTGGCAGGTCTCGCCGTCTTGCTGGAACCACACGCCATCCAAGTCTTTTTATCGGTTTCCGGAAAGATATAGTCAGTCAGCATGCTTCGATAGCGCACACCAATGACCGTGACGGCGCGCCCTTCGTCATCTTCGAAAAAAGGGCCAATGCCACCAGATCACAAACCACACCAAACAGACACGTGTTGCGGCTGCATGGGCTTCTAGCTAATTTCATTTGGATGTTCTGAGTAAATATGGCAATTTTGCTCATTGACGTAGCCACCAAGATGAAAATGGGCCTCATCCGAAACAATGATGTTTCGGTAAAAATGGGGGTCCTCGTCGCCAAACTGCTTACTTCAGGGATGCTGGCGACTCACTTTTTTCTATCCATCTCACTTTTACCCACTTTTCATTGAAAACATTAACTTTTCTCACCATTTTCGGTCTCGCTGTACATATGAAGTTTATGAACATTTTCGGAGCTGTGTTTCTTCTCTCAAGCCTCACAAAATTAAATGAAGTGAATTGTTCTTAGAAAAATCAACTATGACAAAATTGTACATGTTCTCCCGAAGCTAAGCCAATATGTATTACATGAGAAATTATTAGAATCAATTGAAATTTACTTTGAATTTTGATTCAACTTTGCTAAAAGCACTCTATATATACGCACTGCGCACTGGGGATTTTAAATTCGGAAAGGGTAAGCAAGTCGTTTATGAAAGCAAAGTTGCGCAGTTAGGTAACTAAAAAAATGTTACTTAGATAGTTTGGCAATTTGGAGTATTTTTGGAGAGACAGAAAATGCGAATTTACCATGAACCGTTTTCATTTTCTCTTTGCATAATTTGAGCTGGGATTTCAATATAAATTGCATTATCAGTGGCACTTTTTTACCAGCCTTGTATAAGTAACTCTTAGTATGTTACTTCGTTAGTAAGCATATGTGGGCCAAAATACGCCGCCATCTCGGCGATGACTTCCTCGCTTGAGCTAATTTTTTTCTAGTGAGCCATTTCTTCATGTTAGGGAACAAAAAAAAAGTCGCATAGGGGCAAATCGGGTGAATACGGGAGGTGCGACAGCACTTCATAACGCAATTCATGCAGTTTGGTGGCGACAACTCCCGATGAATGTGCTGGTGCGTTATCATGGTGAAACAGCACCTTCTTTTTCGCCAAATGTGGCCGTGTTTCCTTCAATTTTTTGTCGAAGCGGTCCTATAACTCACTGTAGTATTGTCCAGTGATCGCTCTTCCTTTTTCTAAAAAAATCCATGACGATGACGCCGTTCACACCTCAAAAAATCGTCGCCATGACCTTTCTGACCGATGGGACCGTCTTCGCCTTCTTTTGATTGTTGTTTAGTTTTTGGTGTGTAAATAAATCCAGGTTTCATCAACGGTGACAACTCGATGCAAAAACTCCTTCGGATTTCGCTTAAATTGCTCCAAACACTGCTTCGAAGTTAACAGCCGCATCCGCTTGTTGTCTCCAACTTATCATATAAAATATTCATTCCGGTCGACACACCTACGGCATCTGCTACTTGGCGCACTTTTGTTCGTCGATCAGCGAGAATCATATCGTGGGCTTTGAATGATTTCTTCGATAACCACATCTGTCGGGCGTCCTGGTCGGTCCTAATCGAAAACGGATGTTCGTCCATTTTTAAATTTCTTGAACCAATATCTAACTGTGGTCATAGATAGCGAAGGGTCCCCATAAACAACATCCAACTGTGCTTTTATCTCCTCGCATTTTTCCCACCCAAAAACAAAAAGCGAATTACCGAACGATACTGGTCTTAGCGCAAATCACGAAACACGTGTTTCTCGAATGGCTGCCAAATCCAAACCAACCTATCAATCAGTCTGAAATGTGTCGTCGTTTGATAGAAGGCAGCACACGATGATAACACCAACTTCCTTCAGGAACGCCCTCTGTCGTCAAACATGGGTACTTATACTTATTGAACTAGCCTCGTGTGATATGTGTATCAAATTAAAGAACTTGATGAGATAAACACCATAAGTAAACTGAAGTCATTCTAAATCCAACATCACGGAAGCCGCAATTTGGCGATTTATAATTTCGATAGTACCTCCATAATATGGTCATCAGATGAAAGGGCTTAAGAGAAACACAATAACCAGTGTCATATCAGTCAAATATGATGACCGCCGCAACATGGCGTTTAGACTGTCTATAGTTGATATGGTTATCGACTGAAAGAGCTTGATGACAGATACAGTCAGCAGCGTGACGTCATTCTGGATCCTGTTGGATTTGGCGGCCTCCGCAAAATATCGATTTATAATTTTCAAAGTCACCCCCATATTAAGGACATCAAATAGAAGGGAATGATGAAAGGAACACTATAAGCAAAGTGCCTTCTTTCTAATCCAATATGGCGGACGTTTAATATGACAATTGATATTACAATATAATTACGTCATGGAGATGATCTGCTGACGAAGCCAGGAAGTGCCCACAGGAACCCATCGAATAGAGCCTCGCTTGATTCCTAATGACAAGTACTCTAGTTTTACGGTCTGATGATTAAGTTAGTCAACTATTGTGTAAAAAATACTCATCCACAATAACTATATCAAATTTTGACTTACCAATTACTATTATAATATAATTAATAGATATACCTGTAAGTATGTCTCCTGTATTTACAAGAATTTGTTTTATCTATCGTTTTATGTTTCTTTTATGCATCGTATGCATTTATGTTGAAATATGCATAGATATAAATAATTATTTTTGCTTACATCGATAAAACAGTAACAGAGACCTTATATTAAATTTCTCAGAAAATTAACTCACTTTTATATGTACGTATATAAACTCACTATTTTCTCACTTTTTTTTGGAAAATCTCACTTAAATTCATGCTTTGGGCCGCCAGCATCCCCGGTACCTTTAGTGCATACTTTTGACTCATTCGACTATCAATGCCTTCCAAAGTGACAGCATTGTATCAACACAATAATAATACTAACTGGTGGAAGCATCTACCATATGCCGCTCTTTGCAAATTGTGTAAGAAGTAGCATGTCGTGAAATCGTATAGCACCGCAGTTATCTGCAAACACTCGCACTTTTAAAAAAACACTAAAAACATGAATTGTATGACAGAACTGTCAAAAAATTGACTTGTATCAAGTGCATACCGAAGACGGTTCACGGTTATCGATAATAATTGCTTTGTACAGTTTTACAAAAAATACCTTGGCACAATTAGCAACTTGATACAGTTAGTCTGGATCCGTATGCGAAATTATGATGTTAAAGTTATCCTCTTTATGAAATTTTACTGTTTTATTTAGGGGGTTAGGATCTGGTAATGGACGAGCTACGGGGCAGAATAACGGAAGCAGCTGAATTTGTTAACAACGGAAGATTCGTCCGCCTGATCACACCGTCATTTTTAAGAAGATGCCAAGCTTGCATTGCTGCTGAAGGAAGGCTGAATGAACAATCGTGAACAATGGTGTATATGACTTGGGCTGTCTTCTGTTTCCGGCTTGACGTCGACTTCTGGGATAACGCTGAATATCTGATTCTATAACACAATGGTTTTCTATCGATATAATGCGTTCAATAACACTGAGCTGCTAAATTATGTTTCCTCATACCATCGAACATTTCTGCGTTCATATGGTTCTCCACTATGCTGCCTTGTCAGTGAAGCAGATAGTTCCATGTTTATACCTTCCTAATCTTAATTGCAGATGACATAATCGCGAAAGCCGAAGCGTCCTACCACCCGCACTACAACCCAAACCGACAGCAGCAACCAGCAGATGGCAGCATCGTAAACACCTTCCAGCAACCTCAACAGCCCAGTTGGATACCACCTCAACTGCAACCGTTAGTGCAACAGCAAGCTAGACCGCCGAATCCGGTCGTCCAGCCAGGGGGATCAGCATTCGCGCATTTCAGGAATGAGCCGCCCACGCAAAATCACAAGCAGTTTCAGAGTGAAGGGCAAGGGCAGCAGCCGCAGCTGTACAGGCCGCCACAAAGACAGGAGTTCTATCGTCCGACGATGGGCGAGCCGGCTACTGCGGTAAGGATTGGCTGTAATCATTGTGAGTTTATGTCCGATTTAGACAACTGCATTGACCTTAAATCAAGCTTCTGAACTGGTTTAACTACAGATTAACAAATATAGAGTTAGTTACTTAGTCTTCCCGATACGTAGATTAAAGGCAAAGGACAATCGTGGGCATGTCCGCAATAGAGGAATAGGAGCAGAAATAGAAGGATTGGTAACGCGAATGACGTACGTTTCTGCTTATTGGCTTCATCAGGCCCAAATAGATCTGCATCGAAAACACTGAAGTGAAAACATATGCCCATCTGGAAACGGGTATAGCCTGATGGAAAACAAGGATAGAAAGGGAAATACAACTAGAAGCCATCAACAAGAGCCAGCAGACACATTTGTGGCTTCGGTCAAAGGACTTCGTGCTCACGAGGTATCAACCAACGTCAATGAAGTATCACGGCAGGCTGATGAAATCAGAAGCAGAAAAGTACGTCGCTCGGCAGGGTTATTACTTAAAAACTATACAATATAAAAAACGATAAAATGTCAACTTGTTGACTAAGTAGAGGCTAGTGTGCAAATAGTTATTCCACCCTTGCCAGAAGTGAGCATGAAGTGAACGAAAGCTAGTTCCAAGTTGATGTCTTGTAGAAAGTTCAAGTTACATAATATCCCTGCGGGTTACCAAACCTTTTATTTCTGCTCCGGTTCCTTTATTGCGAAGATGCCCATGATTGTCCTTTGTCCTACTGATTAACGATAGGATGGATGTCATCAATGAGTTTTTCAAAACTGAAACTGGCATTTTTGTGAGAGCATGATTGCAGGTCACGTGGTCAGTCATGTGGCTCTATAAAGTGTCATAGTTGAATATGAACGAACATATTGACCCGGCCCCGAGTCATTTGATACTTGTCACCAAGGCATCAGACGACTTGTTTCGAAAAATATTTGGTATCTGTTACCTAAAGATCAAAGACCTAATGGATTTTTTTTCAAAATCAATGACCAAGCAAAAATGCCGAAGTTTTGCAGTATGTTAGCAATCACATTATATTGGAAAATAAACATTTCTGTTAGAATAAATTTGACAACAAAACTGCTCACTAAGTTATAGCATTTAGCATTTAATTCACCGAGACAACTATATTTACTCTGTCAGGAGCTAGAGATAGAGGTGTTTTTCCTTAACATCTTACTGCAGCTCTTCTGAGCCAATCGCTTCTTTGTCCGGCGCGACGCCGGTACCATTCGCCCTACAGTTTTGCTTCACGAGGCAGAATGAAAACGCTTTATGAGACTTTCAGCGCATTCACGATTTAGCTTGCAGCTATTGAGTGAAATAAAAAAAATGCGATAATTATATGAGTATGTATCGCGTAGAGAACGCTTCTTGTAACTACGTTCAGTAATATTTTCCATGAATATATTCCAATTTATAGCCAAAGAACTATATTTCATGCACATTGTCTGCCATCACTATTTTCGGCCCGCATTCTTTTGTCTTGCATTCTTTCGCTGGGCAGATTACCTCGTCACTTGAATGCAGAAGTATTCTAAGTCACAAAATGCATACTTTACAGGAGAGATATTTTTCGTGTTTGTTTCTTGCCTAACATTTCTGAGAAATTTTGAATATAGAATGCTTTACCGGAAAAAAAGTATGACTAGTCCGTGAAAGTAGACTTATATTTGTTGCTGACATTGGACTTACAGTCGTTCTGTAAGTCATCATCTGCTCTTATCATAGTTCTGCAGCGAAATGACGCGACTCTTGCTATTACGCCAAAATATCGTTCAAGACCAGTGGTGGGGGAACGCTTGCGCAGGGACTTACAATACCTCTGCATGCAATGTAGGTGACTATGACCTACAATGTCGTGTTAAAATCTGAAAAATGAAGGATTTGGACATACAATAGTTCTGCATTCAGGCGACGACCTGTTTGTGCTTGGCCTTCGTGCCGAGATGAAAGAGCAAGATATCGGAAGTTCGTTTATATCCGTACAAAATCGAGAATATTTTCATTGTGGGCCGCAAACAAGTCTACTGGCGGCGTATAGTTGACAGGTAGGTTTGTCCTTTTGTACAACTACAGGTGCAGGCACACGTAACTGTATACTTGACAAGTGTACTTGTACAAACTTGAATGCATCTCGCTACAAACAGGCTTAAATAGTAGTACAAGCAGAGTCATCGAGACGAATATGCTCACCTTGCTTAATGTAATATCTGAAACAACCCGTGTTTTTTTTTATCAAGCCACACATATGTTTAAAATTGCTCTTTATTGTTCGACGTTTCGGTCCCAAAGGTGACCTTTTTCAAATACATTGCAAGAAAGGACAATAAAGAGTAATTTTAAACATAAATGTAGCTTGATTCGGCCAGACAAACCTGGGGGATTTCTTTCTTTGGCTGATTCAGCTTAAAAGATAAAAAAGATGCGGCATTATTGTACTCATATGAACTTGTACAAGTGACTGTAAAGAAATTCAAACATGTCCACAAGCAGTTTTTTCCGTGAACACCTTCATGTAAAATCTCTTTTGGTTACATAAAGCTTAATACCCTTCAAAAATGTCAAAAATAAGTAAAATTAGCGGTCTGTGAATGTTTCGACAAAGTTACTAATGAAACACTGATAAAAGTATAATTTTTCTCAAAACCATCACAAAGATGAGTAAACCAAAAGGCAATAATAAGACTGAAAATCACTGTTAAGTTTCGATAGATTATCACGGAACAAAAACTTCGGTTTGTCTCCAATTCAATAATTTTGAACTTTTTTATCGTTTCATCGGCCGGCCTATATCAGCCTAGGCAGTCGTATCGGCCGATCCATGTTTCGATAAATAGGGCAAATATAGCCGATATTCATTTCGGTATGACCATGCACATTGATGCGATGTCAAACCAAGAGGCTCGTCAACTTAATCTATTGTCTATTCAAATCTTATTTACTCCGCGTCAAAACAAACATGAACGCTCGATCGCCCCTTCTATGCCCAGGAATTTAAGACCTACTGGTCAGTTGTTTGTGTTTGTTTCGACCGTGGCCTAAATGAGATTTGAGTACATGCCTTGAAGACTTGTAGCGCGTCAAACGACGTATCGCGAGCTCTCATTTGACTCTGTATGATCCAGTTGTTAGTTCACCTCGTCTGATTGGCATTAAAGCTTTAATGGTGTCAAGTTTGTAGGTGAGGCGATTAGCCTTCATTCGTTCTATACGCTTGTCGACTTCGAGCGCCAAATTCAGTCACGTGCTCACTCTTAACGCTTGACCCTTTAATGAAATTACATTTATTCTCCATAGCTAACACAACTCTTTAAATTCTACTTTACATACAGACATACCAACAACCAAGAAACCACGCGCTTCGGCCCAATGATGTGTACCGTCCACCAAGAGAACGTCAACAACAACAGCAGCAAGGATTCCAGAAGTATGATATTACGTTCATGCCTAGTTTTATGGACAAGAACACATCTCAAAGCATTGATGAAACGTTCGCATCTGCAGTGCAAGTTAGTTTCATTTTATCATTTTTCAATTGCATGATACATTTCCGATAAATTCAGAATTATTAACAATAAACCGTAGGTGTTCTTACAATCACTTACTATTTTAAACCTAGTAACAAAAATTTTGGCACCAATATATTGTACCAGGAGAAAAACAAATGCTTGAAAGTGTTTAACGTGATTTTTCTTTTCTAGAGTACATCCAAGCGTAGTGAAAATAGAGGTACAGAGTTGGTCGAACCAAAACGGGTATGTATTCATCAAATTTAAGTTGAAAATTCTTTATAGTCATTATGTGTTGACAGGGACAAACTATTGACACAGACTTCCTGAAAACCATCTTGAAGATAGGAGAATCGAATAATAAACAGTCCATACCGCCAAAAGAAACAAAAAGCGTGGAAAAGAAGAAGAACGAATCAAACGCCACACCCGGATTTTCGTTTGATATGCTTTCGGTTTGTATATAATAATTATATTGTCAAGTTAGGTCAAAATTGAGTGTATTGAATATAAGATTGGTAAAAATAAGCCTATGCTACTTTAAGTAGTATTCTAGTTCTCTATTCTAGTATGTATTCTTGTGAAGGTACTGCTAGTTCATTAACACATTGTTTTTCAGTTTGCAAGATGTTAATTTTATTTTTTATTCGTATATTTATTTTAGCAAGTAGCCAATGCTCCCGCAAGCACACGACTCGTTACGTACTACCAGTCGAATGGCTTGGATATGCCCAGGTATCAGTATTTCTCAGCAGGAAATAATTTGATTAAAGCACAGATAACGTTGAATGATGAACATTTTGTTGGAAAACCTGCGAAGACAAAGGATCAAGCCAGTGATGAAGTGGCCAATGTTGTTTTGAAACATCTCATGAGTAAGGTGAGCTAATATAATGTAGAAAATCTCTCACTTTCCAATAAGCTGTTATTATGGTTGTCGGAAAAGTCATGACGTATATGCAACAAAGTATGCAATTGCATGGTTGGAAGTACGCGAGTGAATGACATTTGTATGTTGATTGTGTAGTTTGGCAGTTGACACTTCAAGCTTCATTTGCACCAAAAAATTAAGTGATTTATTTGAGTCTCGTCGATTTTAGAGGACGTTGAAGATGGACGACCAAACTGTGCATTTTCGTCACATTTTGCTGTATTACTTCCGCAAAGGCAAGAACGCAAGACAAGCGTGTGAAAAGTTGAGAAAGGTTTATGGAGAACATGCACTACAAGAACGGCAATGCCAGAGATGCTTTAAAAAATTCCGAGATGGGAGTAGATGTCTTATGGGGATTCGGTCTCAAAACTTCCAAAATCCGCCACCAGAGGCGCTGGCGTCGCGCGCCATTGACAGGTTGTTGGACGGAATCTGTAATCGAAATTCATGAGTTGGGGATTCCGCCGCTAGATGGCGCTGTCAAACCAAACGGAATCTGTGTGTCATTGGACACCTGTCATGCGTCATTGGGCATCTCACGCATAGATGGCGTTAAAACGTCATCTGTCATACGTCATTGGACACCTGTCATTGATGGGTTGGGCATCTCGCGCATAGATGGCGCCGATTTGTTTGGCGGTGTACAAACCTAACGGAATCTATGTGTCATTGGACACCTGTCATTGATGGGTTGGGCATCTCGCGCATAGATGGCGCCGATTTGTTTGGCGCTGTACAAACCAAACGGAATCTATGTGTCATTGGACAGCTGCCATTGATGGGTTGGGCATCTCGCGCATAGATGGCGCCGATGTCGCACCTGTCTGGTGTTGGCGTGGATTACGGGGGGCAACGTGTATACAGGGGTGCATCGAAAAATAGCGGATCGATGGACCGACGGTATATCGTTAAATCGTATATAGCAAGGCGTGACCTAAATAGCGTGGTGGGCTCCTCTGGTCGGTCGGTCGGTCGGTCAGAATGTCTCATAACCTGTATACGATGTACTGTTATTATTATACAGGATGATACCGTTCAAAATGAAAATAGTATAATGGATATTTTATTGAAACATATAGTATATATAACAATAAGGTTGATTGGTGTGTGTGTGTGTGTGTGTGCCATGTTTTGAATACCCGCGCTTGAACAACTTGCAACAAGAAATTCCGACAATATTATTTCGCAAACCAGAGGTATTTTCAATAAAACTACATATCAGGGAGTACTTTAGATGTTGATACTAATCGACTCAAATCATTGTTCGACAACTGATTTGGTTCATGACAGACAAGAATCAAATTATGTATTTCACGGTTCAGTTCTGGTTGTTTTTTAATTTTTTCCCTAAACTTCAGGTAACCCAGGAAATATGTCTCTTATCCGTCCTCTGTTCAACACATCAGTAAAATCGTTAGAAAATTCTATATATGACATATTATTATAAAAGGTATAGGACCGTCCTGCGTTTGATTGAAAAATAGCATTGATTCGAGCCCTATCGGGTATATCAATTGAAAAATTATCAAGAAATTTAATGGTAGGGAATGATGCTGAGAAATAGTTGTTTGGAGACACAATGGTAATCAAGTCACCGTTTGTTGATTGGAAAATATGTTGTAAAGTGTATTGACGTAATTCTGTAGGAACATAATCGACAAGAAGTTCAGGCTGAGATGGGATAATCATTTCGTTTAAGTCTAGTTTCCATATAAACATATCATGTGCAATATATAATCGGTAATTTGAAAACTCTGGAGCAATAGCTAAAAACATAAAATCTGGAATAATATCACACAAATTTTTGAGGATCGGCTGCTTACGAGTTGTAGATCTTATAGTTGTTGTTGTTTTTGGTATTGCTGATGCGGTGGTAGACGTTGGGATTGAATCATATTTGTTTTTTCTTCCATATAGATATTGTACTGCATTTATATCATCAACATCTAGACCACGAATCTCATGCTGATAGAAGGCAAACATAATAGCATTCGGAGAAGCACTATGTGCTATGCCGAGAGCATGTCCAATTTCATGAACCAACACCTGATAGAGAATGATGTCAAAAATCTCAGATAGCAAATATAAATTCGTTTACCCCCCAATCAAAATCTTGACTGAAAAAAAATTAGGCAGCAAATATACAATAATCATACACGAATTTACTATATTTCTAAATTTCTACTCTCATGTGCAACTTGTAATTGGAATTTCCGCCGGACAAACGATACATTCATGTATTACTAAGAAATTATATAAAAAATACTGCAACCGCAATGAATGTTGTTTTCTCGATAAAAATGGTACTGAGAATATGATGCATATAATATGCATATTTACGATACAATTATCTCATGCACGCGTGTGTTATCTCAACCACGTATTTATATTTAGCGAGCGCATGCAATAGTCATCATTGTTTCACACTTAACGCACAACGCTGCAAGCTGGAACAACGGCCGCAGTACAATAGTGCTTCGAGAGAGACGAGATAGCGAAAATTTTAAAAAAAGTAAGTGCTATTTTATTTAATATTTTTCTTTTTTATGTCTCTAAGTGCAACTGTTTTTTCGTGTTATGCTTCAAAATAGTTAGACGACTCAATTTTTTTTATAGATGGATTTATCAAAAATTAATGCTGCGTCTTCGATTGTAGACCGCAAACCTATCAGAAAATTAAAGGACCTACCAGTCGGGACACCATTTGCAATCCAAGCAGCTAAAGTGGTCAAGTCGAAATTTGGGGAAGCCGTGCTACTAGATTTAGGACCGGAAGTGCTATTTCTACCACAGCGGGTGACGGAAACGTACCAGCCGGTCATCGACGAACTTTTTCACGGAAAATACTCGATCATCTTCCAAGGGGAAGTGGACGTAGGGAAAAGCCGACCGCTAGCATCATTCAAAATAGTGGAAAATTAACAAAGCAGAGAACAGGAGGAGGAGGACAGGGTGAGCATTTTTATATATTTTTGAGTAATGTGTTTGCTTGAAAAAAAAAATGTCGTCTTTTCAAATGTCTTCAAATAAGGTTAAAAAGATCATCAAACAAACAGACGGTGTTCTACTATCAATTGTTAGTCTACGGAAAATTTTATTTGATAATTTTACAATCAGAGACGCGGAAGTGTGGCTGAAACGAATAGAAAAACAAATTAGATTATGTAAACGGGTAATTCGTAGTAGAAGGCAAAATAAATTATCTGTAGGGACCTGTAGAAAAGTAGAAACAAATTTGGGGCATTTTAAACATTTTAGAAAGTTGATTTTAACTAGACATATTGGGGCAGGACTTCACTTAACATTGGGTCAGAGGGTTAGATGGGAAAATGTAGAATCGAGCTTTCAAAGTAGAATAAAAACCGGTTCCATAGCTAATTTGCGTCATAAGGACTTGAATCAATTTTTAGCAGATTGTGTAGTTGTTTTTAAAAGGAAAATTAGGAATATTTTGAACACCCATTGTGCGCTCAAAGTAAATACAACATTTTGCGGGGAGTTTATTAGGAAATCGGGGGATAATGAAATTTTGGGAATTAAATATATTAATACTAAAAATCATATTATTGATACATCAACTCAAATAGACGAGTGGTTTAAGATATATGTGAAAGATAAACTTTTAAACGAATTATCGGAATTTGCTGAAAAAGATTCGGGATTTGCGTTAAATAAAATTATTTCCTTAGTTGTTAATATCAGTAAATATCAATTGGGAAACGGTTCATCTTATATTAGACTACCAGAACCGATTATAAGGAAAAATGCTTGTATAAACATTAAAAATATAGATCAAAATTGCTTTTACTGGGCCATTGTAAGCGCTCTTCGGACTCCTAGCAAAAAAAGACATGCAGAACTAACCTCCTCATATCCACACTTTACTGACGTTTTACAAACAGAAAATTTAGATAGTCCTATGCTGCTAACAAAAATTTCAAAATTTGAAAAGATGAATAACATTTCAGTCAATGTTTACGCTTTAGAATTGATCGAAACAGAAAAAAAATCATTTTACATAGTAGTACCAGCAAGATTAACGGAAAATAAACGGGATACGCATGTTAATTTACTTTTAGCTCAAAATAAATATTATCCGCGTTTAAATGATTATGATGCTCCTCCACCAGCGCCAGCAAATGAAGATAATGATTCAATCGATGAAATTAAATATCACTATTGTTGGATTAAAAATCTTTCGCGTCTTATTAGTAGCCAGTTAAATAAACATCGTGAGAAAAAATTTATTTGCGATAGATGTCTGAACTATTTCCATCAGCAAAATAAATTAGTTGAACATGAAAAACTGTGTTCTAAATTTAATAAATATAAAATTAACCTTCCTAAAGAGAGCTGCGTTGAATTTAAAAACTTTACATACCAACAAAATACTCCTTTTGTTGTTTATGCAGATTTTGAATGTCAATTAGAAAATCATAAAGAAAGTAGCGTCGTAAATTTAACTAAAACCATAAAATATCAAAAACACGTTCCGTATAGTGCTGGTTTCTATGTAAAATGCAGCTATGATGATAGCCTTTCTTATTTCGAGAGCTTTCGAGGTGCAGATTGTATGGATTGGTTTGCAAATCGTATGGCTGGTGTTGCGCAATTTGTAAACTCAAAAATAAAAACAAGCGTACCTATGATTGAAAAATTAGACACATGTAAGGCAACATCATGTCATATTTGCGGTAAGAGATTTTCAAAAACAAAAAAAGACATAATCGTTAGAGATCACAACCATTTCAGTGGAGAGTTCAGAGGTTACGCACACCAAGCATGCAATCTGAACTTTAGAAAATTGTTTGTTGTGCCGGTTATATTCCATAATTTAAGTGGGTACGATAGTCACTTTATGATTTCGAATTTATGTAAAAAAGGTCGCTTAAGTCTACTTCCCATCAACAAAGATAAATACATCTCCTTTACGCTGCACTCAGATGAAAATAACATTAAATTGCGGTTTATAGACTCTTTTCGATTTATGGGGGCGTCTCTTGATGAATTAGCTTCAAT